CATTTATGACATTATAAAATGGTCATATATGGTTCTAAACGGAATTATGATTTTAAGATGTATCGCCTAGGGTCTTAATACTTTTCCCCACCGGGCCCCGTAACCTCAAAAATTCTTCAAAAAGCGTGGATAATAGCCTTCAATTTTGGATTTTTTGACCTTTTTTTGCCTGGAAATAAAAATTTCCGAGATGTTTAATTTGGTCCCTAATACCTTCCGGGAGTCCAATTGGGTGAGTGGAACCATCCAATTTGCCTTAAAACGATGAATTTACAAATTCGCAACTCACACCGATTTTGTGAACCCAAGCCTACCACGGACATTTATGACATCAATTAATGGTCATATATGGTTCCAAACGGCATTATATAACCCTAAGATGTATCCCCTAGGGTCTTAACACATTTCGCCACAGGGCCCCTTAACCTCTAAAATTCCTCAAAAAGCGTGGATATTAGCCTTCAATTTTGGAATTTTTTGACTTTTTTTCGAACGGAAATAAAAATTGCCAAGATGTTTACCATGGTCCTTGATACCTTCCGAGAGTCCAATTAAGTTGGTGGAACCATCCAATTTGCCTTAAAACGTTCAATTTACCAATTTGCAACTTGCACCGATTTTGTGAACTCAAGCCTACAACTGACATTTATGACATTATTTTATGGTCATATATGGTTCCAAAAGGCATTATATGACCCTAAGATTTAACCCCTAGGGTCTCAACACTTTTCGCCACCGGGCCCCTTAACCTCAAAAATACCTCAAAAAGCGTGGATAATAGCCATCAATTTTGGAATTTTTTGACCTTTTTTTGCCCGGAAATAAAAATTGTCGAGATGTTTAACATGGGCCCTAATACCCACCGGGAGTCCAATTGGGTGAGTGGAACCATCCAATTTTCCTTAAAACGACCAATTTACCAATTCGCAATTTGCACCGATTTTGTGAACCCAAGCCTACCACGGACATTTATGACATCAATTAATGGTCATATATGATTTCAAACGGCATTAAATTTCCCAATGATGTATCCCATAGTGTTTCAAAACTTTTCGCCACTAGGCCCGTAACGTCAAAAATTCCACAAAAAACGTAGATAATAGCCTTCAATTTTAGAATTTTTTGACTTTTTTCGCCCGGAATCAAAATTTTCTGAGATGTTTATTATGATCCCTAATACCCTCCGAAAGTCCAATTAGGTTGGTGGAAGTGTGGAACCATCCAATTTGCCTTAAAACAGTCAATTTACCAATTCACAACTTGCACCGATTTTGTGAACTCAAGCCTACCATGGACATTTATGTCATCAATTAATGGTCATATATGGTTCTAGACGACATTATATGACCCTATGATTTATTCCCTAGAGGTTGTACACTCTTCGTCACCAGGCCCCATAAACTCAAAAATTCCTCAAAAAACGTGGATAATAGCCTTCAATTTCGGAATTTTTTGACTTTTTTCCCGGAATTAAAAATTGCCGAGATGTTTAACATTGTCCCTAATACCTTACGGGAGTCCAATTAAGTGGGTGGAACCATCCAATTTACCTTAAAACGATCAATTTACCAATTCGCAACTTGCACCGATTTTGTGAACTCAAGCCTACCACAAACATTTATGACATCATTTAATGGTTATATATGGTTCCAAACGACATTATATGACCCTAATATGTATCCCCTAGGATCTCAACACTTTTCTCCACCGGGCCCTGTAACTTCAAAAATTCCTCAAAAATTGTGGATAATAGCCTTCAATTTTGGAATTTTTTGACCTTTTTTCGCCCAAAAATAAATATTGCCGAGATGTTTACCATGATTTCTAATATTCTCCAAGAGTCTAATTGAGTGGGTGGAACCATCCAATTTGCCTTAAAACGATCAATTTACCAATTCGCAACTTTCACCGATTTTGTGAACTCAAGCCTACTACGAACATTTATGACATTATATAATGGTCATATATGATTCTTAACGCCATTATATGATCCTAAGATGTATCGCCTAGGGTCTTAATACTTTTCTCCACCGGGGGTCCGTAACCTTAAAAATTCCTCAAAAAGCGTGGATATTTTGGAATATTTTGACCTTTTTTGCCTGGAAATAAAAATTGCCGAATTGTAAAAGCAAATTGGATGGTTCAACCCACCCAATGGGACTCCCGGACTGTATTAGGGGGTCATGTTAAACATTTCAGCAATTTTTATTTACGGGCGAAAAAAAAATCAAAAATTACAAAATTGAAGGCTAATATCCACGCTTTTTGAGAAATTTTGAAGGATTCGGGGACCGGTGTCGAAAAGTCTTGAAATTCTGTGGGATACATTTCGGGGTCATATAATGTCGTTAAGAGCCATTTATGATCATTTTATGTTTTCATAAATGTTCGTGGTAGACTTGATTTAATGAAATCGGTGCAAGTTGTAAACTGGTAAATTGGTCGTTTAAAGGCAAATTGGATATTTCTACCAACCTAATTGGACTCCCGGAGGGTATTAGGGAACATGGTAAAAATTTCAGCAATTATTATTTTCGGGCGAAAAAAAAAGTCCGAAAATTCCGAAGTTGAAGACTTATATCCACGCTTTTTGAGAAATTTTGGAAGTTTCGGGGAACGGAGTCGAAAAGCCTTGCAATTTTAAGGAATACATCTTGGGGTCATATAATGACGTTAAGAACCATATATGATCATTATATTTTATTATAAATTTTTGTGGTAGACTTGAATTAATGAAATCGGTGCAAGTTGTAAATCTATAAATTGGCCGTTTAACAGCAAATTGGATTCCATACACCCAATTGGACTCTCGGAATGTATTAGGGACAATGGTAAACATTTCGACAATTTTTATTTTCGGGCGAAAAAAGGCAAAAAATTCCTAAATTGTAGGCTAATATCCACGTTTTTTGAAAAATTTTGGAGGTTTCGGGTATAAGTGTAATAAAGTCTCGATATTTTAGGGTATACATCTCGAGGTCATATAATTCCATTTCGAACCATATATGATCATTATATGTTGTCATAAATGTTTGTGGTAAACCGGTACATTGGTTGATTAAAGGCAAATTGGATGGTTCAACCTACCCAATGGGACTCCCAATCGGTATTAGGGATCATGGTAAACATTTCAGCAATTTTTATTTACGGGCGAAAAAAAGTCAAAAATTACAAAATTGAAGGCTCTTTGAGAAATTTTGAAGGATTCGGGGACCAGTGTTGAAAATATATAGGGGATACATTTCGGGGTCATATAATGTCGTTAAGAGCCATTTAAGATCATTATATGTTATCATAAATGTTCGCGCGGTAGGGTTGATTTAGCGAAATCAGTGCAAGTTGTAAACTAGTAAATTGGTCGTTTAAAGGAAAATTGAATATTTCAACCACCCAATTGGACTCCCAGAGGGTATTAGGGACCATGGTTGGCAATTATTATTTTCGGGCGAAAAAAAAAAGTTAAAAAATTCCAAAATTGAAGACTTATATCCACGCTTTTGAGACATTTTGGAAGTTTCGGGGATCGGTGTCGGAAAGCCTTGAAATTTTAAAGAATACATTTCGGGGTCATATAATGACGTTCAGAACCATATATGATCATTATATTTTATCATAAATGTTCATGACAGGCTTGAATTAATGAAATCGGTGCAAGTTGTAAACCGGTAAATTGGCCTTTTGGCAGCAAATTGGATGGTTCCACACACCTAATTGGACTCCTAGAATGTATTAGGGACAATGGTAAACATTTCGACAATTTTTAATTCCGGGCGAAATAAGGCAAAAAATTCCAAAATTGAAGGCTAATATCCACGTTTTTTGAAAAAAATTGGAGGTTTCGGGGACCAGTGTAGTAAAATCTTGATATTTTAGGGGATATATCTCGGGGGTCATATAATTCCGTTTGGATCCATATATGATCATTATATGTTGTCATAAATGTTCGTAGTATGCTTGAGTTAATGAAATCTGTGCAAGTTGTAAACCGGTAAATTGGCAGTTTAAAGGAAAATTTGATGGTTTCACCCACCCAATTGGACTCTCGGAGAATATTAGGGACCATGGTAAAAATTTCGGCAATTATTATTTCCGGGAGAATAAATTAAAAGTAAAAAAATTCCAAATTTGAAGACTTATATCCACGCTTTTTGAGAAATTTTGGAAGTTTCGGGGAACGGTGTCGAAAAGCCTTGAAATTTTAAGAAATACATCTCGGGGTCATATAATGATGTTTGGAACCATATATGATCATTATATGTTTTCATAATGTCCGTGGTAGGCTTGATTTAATGAAATCGGTGCAAGTTGTAAACCGGTAAATTGGTCGTTTTAAAGCTAATTGGATAATTCCACCCACCCAATTGGACACCCGGAGGGTATTAGTGACCATGGTAAACATTTCGGCAATTTTTATTTCAGGGCGAAAAAAAGTCGAAAAATTCCAAAATTGAAGACTAATATCCCACGTTTTTTGAGAAATTTTGGAGATTTCGATGCCCGGTGTCGAAGAGCCTCGAACATTTAAGGAATACATCTCGGGGTCATATAATGTCGTTTGGAAACACATATAATCATTATATGTTGTCATAAATGTTCATGGTAAGGTTGAGTTAATGAAATCGTTATAAGTTGTATATTGGTAAATTGGTAAAGGCGATTTGGATGGTTCCATCCACCCAATTGGAATCCCAGAGGATATTCGGTAAACAATTCGGCAAATTTTATTTTCGAACGAAACAAAAGTCAAAAAATTCCAAAATTGATGTCTTATAGACTACATTATCTTTTATAGACTAACAGTAATTTATAATCAAAGTATTTAAAGTTTGACCTAAAAAATGGCAATAGGGCAAAAATAAAAGGATTGAGGGAGTATATGCCCTAAATTACTTGAATAAGTTACGCTTAACCGCAAGTTTCCACGGTCGTGCAACAATGCAATTAATTGAGTCTACTCAATGAAAATTTAGACTATGATTCACGGTCGTGGATCTGACCTGGTATGAAAATTCAGACTGCGAACCACAAATAACAATTGTGGAACTAACCTAGTATACTCACTAAAAAAAATTCATTATGCGATGTATGATCGTGCACAATTTCCGTAAGTCTTATTGATGGTATTACATCCCTAAATACATCACTAATAGTTAAATGACCTGGGTATTGAGGCTTAGGTATTACTAGAGTACCTATTGAGGCTGAGGTCAAACAAAATACCTCACTAAACTTCTCTATACTATAGATTACTTAATTACAGCAAGCTCTTTCTGTAACTCATTGACCTCGAACTACTTCCTACAAATCTTTCAATAACAAAAATGTAATCATTTATTTCACGGAGAATTCACCACCAGTCGTTACAAGAACACAATCCATCCTCAAAATGATGGAAGCGCTTACTATCTCTGACGACAATCTTCCGGCTGTACAATTTTGATATCAGTTTAATCGATGAATGACAATCTTCACATATTCGAAGATTCTTAACCACCCGAAGTGGTGTTTGAGGACTGGTGCTGATTAACCCATACGCTACAGCAATCTTTTCACTGTGATGGTACAAGGCAGTTTGTTTTGCTTCTTCATCCACATTAAGGAAAACTTGTGTGGTATTTGGCTGATAACCTATGGACTGTAATTTGTTAGAAATCTCCTTCAACATCAAATGGATCTCCTTGGCACATGGATGTGATTCATCTTCTACGAGAAACTCATGGATCACTCCATCAAGCTCAATCCAGCTGCATCCAGGATCTTTTCTTACATCTCTATCTTTCATTAACAACCTAACCCGAGCAACACCATCCCAGTCCCCTAAAGATGCATACATATTTGATAGAGCAACGTATGATCCACTATCATCAGGAGCAATTTCCATCAGATGCTTGGCTACTCGTCTTCCCATTTCAATGTCCCCATGCATCTTACACGCACCCAACAAGGCCTTCCAAATGACAGCATCGGGTTTCATGGGCATGTCACATATAAAATTCTCAGCTTCTTTTAAGAGTCCATTACGACCTAGGAGATCAACCATGCAACCATAGTGTTCAATCCTAGGCTTGAACCCGGCTACTCTTATCATATGATCAAAGAACATCTTCCCTTCATTCACCTTTCCCCCATGGCTACATGCAGTCAAAACACCAATGTAGGTAACATCACTAGGTTTGATCCCCATATCTAGCATCATTGAGAAATAATGAATAGACTCGGTTGCACGACCATGGATAGCAAGTCCATTGATAACAGCATTCCAAGTTATGGTACTCCTTTTCGGAAGGCTTTCAAAGACCTGAAGTGCCTTGTCAACACTACCACACTTAGAATACATATCAATCAGTGCAGAGCCAAGCACATCACCAATCTCAAATCCACTTCTCTCGGCATACAAATGAATCCACTTGCCTAACTCAAGGGCACCCAGATGGGAAATCGCCGGAAGGATACTAACCAATGTTACATAATTCGGTTTAAAATTCTCATCCACCATCTGCATCTCTCTAAAAACCCCAATAGCATCCCTAAACCAACCGCGTTGAGCATAGCCAGCAATCATCCCATTCCACGAAACCACACTTCGCCGAGGCATTTTATCAAACAGTTGGCGTGCAGCTCCCATATCCCCAAGTTTAATAAACCCATCAACCATCACATTCCACAAAACCACATCACCTTCTTGCCTCCTCTTACTAACACCATTATTATCCAAAAACATATTACTATTAACACTATAATCATCCATCAAAATTCTATTAAAAAACAATGATTGAGCATCATCCATAATACCACACATGACATACATCCTCAAAAGATTGCTAACAACAAATTCATCATCTTCAAAACCCAATTTTATCAACTGGGCATGAACTTGTTTACCTGCAATCAAATTTCTGAGTTTGCCACAGGCTTTAAGCACAGAAGGGAAAGTGAACTTGTTAGGAGAGAGAGAATCATCAAGCAACATAAGGGTAAATATAGACAAAGCTTCAATTGGGTCATCTTGTAAATCAGCAATAGCTCTAATAATGGTGTTGTATGAAAAGGGGTTGGGTTGGTTCATACGGTAGAAGAGAAGACGAGCATAGTCGAGATTTTTAAGCGCGAAAGCGGAACACCTAAGGAGTTCAGCAGAAATAAGAGGGTCATGAATTTGGGAAGTTTTGATAAGTTTGGCATGGATTTGTTTGAAGTGTTTGATGGTTTTGCAGTTTGAGATTTCTGGGAAATTTGGGGGAGGAGAGAGAGTGAGATGTGTAGGAGGTGGTTTGAAGGTGTTTGTGTTCATACTGTAATAGCTCAAATTCATTGGTGGTTCACAGTAAACCTGTAGTAATCTGGATAAGATGGTTTATTGTATGGTTAAATCCTGTTTCAGTATCCTTCTACCCATATTTCTTCAAATTGGGATATAATTGGATTTTATATCATGCACACTTGCATTTTCGAAAAGTCGAGCAGTTCACAGCCCCTGTGGAGGCAGCAGGGCACCGTTGCTTAAAAGAGTTGTACGTGTGACGGATTGTTTCGAAGTAAGGAGGTTAGGAAAGGTGTGACTTGTGAGGTAAGATTTGCGACTACATAAGCCTTTTAAGGTTCAATCTCGTGGTCATCTCAGTGAACTAAAGCCATTATCAGATAAAGGCTTAGGGAAGTCCAAAGCTTCTCTGCATCAGGTTACTTATGTGCCTTGCCATGCCTATATCGGCTAAACCCCAACCTCTATAATCACAGACCAGCCATCATCAAAATAGCATAAAAGAATTAACAAGGCATCAATTTTGAAGCCTTTGCTAATGCGAAGTATGATATTGCATTAACAAACAAAATGGTTATAACATTTCCGAGAGGTCTGACTTTTTGCCAGAAAAATATTGTTAAAAAAAAAAAACAAAAAAAACTTGATACATGTCATGATCAGCTATAAGTTAACTAGACATGTATAAATCTAATTTCACAGGTTTACAAGCTCTTGACATATTAATGACAGAGATAGACCTTAAATTTCCTACAAGTATACATATCGTTGGCGATGAGATGCAAATGCCGCTTCAAGAGCCCTACTGGTCACAGGCATTAGGGCCTCAAAAATCACTTGCGACCAAGACCTTGGTAGCTGGCAGCATCCTATAATACTGAATTGCATTCTTCATCACCAATATCTAGCCTGTTTTTTCTCTGTTAAAACAACTTTAACTAACCTTCATTAGACAAATATGAAAAAATCCTCTTCAAAAAATATTCTCCAACATAAGGAATGAAAACAACCAAAGCTTTCTCTTCACAAGGGTTCTCCACGACAAATAGATCATTTCTTGCCAAAAGGAAGCCTATTTATTCAATTCTATTCAAGATTAAGGTGATGCACAAAGACAAATCCTAAAGAGTGAGGCACAACTAATATCATTCATATGCCCAATCTAGAACCTAACAATAGGAAATGAGCAACCATTCTGCAGTGGTAGGGCTGATCCTTGCATTTATAGGCACGGGATTAGTAAGCACATTGTCTTCAATTTAGAAGATGGCACATTGGAAACATAGTATATCATGACCGGAAAACCAAAGTTTATAATTTTTGCGTAACACTAGAGAATGAACTCAAGAGAACTTTCCAAGAAGTCTCCACTGACTTCCAATAGTGATAATATTAGAAAGAAACGACATGTTTAAGTATATGACTCTATGACACTTCTTTGATAACAGTCCTCAATAAACGTGTCCCTCCTAATATAATGGAGGCCTTGTACCACCTATTAATAAAAATAAGGTCCTTAAAACTGAGTGTGTAATTAACAAATAAACAAAATGCCACATCAATATAATAACAAACCAAAAAAGTGACAAGTTTTTTTATACCCTACAAAGTACAAGTTTCACAGTACCACCGGTCCATTAAATATTTAGCTCCTCTAAAGACAGAAAAGCATTTGTGGTGAGGGGGCAGGGGAATTTTTTTTTTTTTTTTTTTTTTGGATATAGAAATATAAAATCTAGAAATTATGAGGTCCCTAATTCCCAGGGGGGCCTGCAGAATCACGCAGATAGCACACCCTAAGAGTTGGCCCAAAGATAAACAGCATCACAGTATCATACAACAAAAAGGATTGAGTCAAAAGTGAACTAGAACATGGTACATTTTGACTTATCACCGAGAAAAATAAGACAGCGGACAATATGAACTAAGGAGCTTTAAGCTTGTTGAATAGGATAAACTGTAAAGGTAGTTTACCTATATGGTGCATACCACCAAAAGCTCCAAAAAAATGTTGTTGAGGCCACAAACCATAGAATCGTATAGAAAGCTCTTGAAATAAGGAAAATGTGAAATGCTAGAGTGGCGATCATTCTTCATCAAACTTTCTTTCTTTTGAGGGAATCTTTCATCATTTTAATAGTTAGCGACCTGTTTTGGATAAAAAATGACTTAGGAACAAAATGCATGAATAAATATTACTATTATACAAATGTACAGCAGGAATCATTACTCGAGCCCTTTACATAGTCATAAGAACTATCTTACTAACTTCTATCTCTATCTCTTGGTATATTTAGTTGGGTGGTCATGACCTCAGCATATACTCAGGATCTTCAATTGAAGTTGGTCATGACCAGCATATTTAGTAGGCTGATCATGACCTCAGGCAAAGAAAAGGAAGGTAATAAATTGACGCTGCACATTGAGGTAACTCAGGTGCTCATACGACAATTCTTTGAAAAACAGAATTTAGCATCTCATAAGGACTTCCATGCAAACCCCATCCCATCAACTGCTCTAGCACAATGCAGTACAAGATTTCTCAACACATTGCTGGTAGATTTAACACATCCTCATCTCATTATCACACTTCATTTGTGATAGTATTTTACCAATGAATGCCTCACAAGTGGTGTGTGAAAATGAGAGAAAATTAATTGCCCCACATTGCTTGTCTAACCCTAATACGGAAACTAAAGCTCACTTTTGCATCAGATCTTACTGTGCGATTGCGATATACAAGCATTACAGCCATCAATAGCAGGGAAGCAACCATAAATCATAATCATCTAAGAAGCACCCACTTTTTTAAAATTGAAAAGGACAGGAATAGAATACAAGAAGAGGCAAACTATAAAACTATTAAGAAAAGTAAATGCTAAAGGATATGAAGTGATTTTGTCCTCTTCGCCTTATTTTAGATACTAGTTAATTTTATTACAGCAGACCAAATCTTATTATTTCCAAATACTAGTACCAAATATCTATGATTATGTATTACTAAAAAATTTTAGGGTCTTTTTAAAAATTATTAATACATGTTGAGAATGATCTACGAAGATGCCACATTTTATCTCATACGTACAAAACATGTCCTAAAAAAGTCGATGATCTTCTCATTTCACATTAATAATTCTCATTGACACTCTTTGAAATATTCTTGTCATTTTCTTAAGATATGGCCCATGTAAAAATGAGTCTTTTATTCCAGAAGACAATAATAAATTCAAGCACAGGCACAAGATTAAGTGATGCAACCATAAAACACCATAATGAATTTCAGACAGCAGACAATTATACCTGAATTTTTGCTAGCTCTCCTTTGTGGATCTTTTAATTTTCCATTTATCACCAATTCATGTTTCTTGCACGCACCATTGCTACTTATCCTCAGCTTTACATCCTTTCTTTCCTTTGCTACAATGTCATTAGTAATGGAACGATTGCTTCTCCTCCTTTCTTCTGTGCATCTTCCATTCGACACGAACCCATCTTGTTTAGTTGGAGTATTGGCACTTTTCCTTCTTACATCTCTTTCAACTCCATTACTTGTAACCCTACCCTTATCACAGGAAGTATGACTACCATTTCTTCCATCTTCTCCACTCCTTTTCCTCTGGCTGCCAATTAGCATATAAATAATCATTATTTTGTTCTCTTCATTTTCCCCTTATTTGTACCCATATCATACGCCAACCACAGTTTAACATGATGAATATGATAACACAAGAATAAAACTAACCAATATTTAATTCTCTCACACAATCAACTTATGGGATCATTATAAGTATAACTATTCTAAAATTAATTTCCTTCTACACTAATAAATAATAATACATAACATAAATATAAATCCCCATAATTATAGTTCATCAAAAATCATGAGCTTCCTTACCAATCGAATTTTTCTTCACCCACAAGACTAAATTTATGGAATTTAACTTGATTTTCGAAATTATTGTACTAGTACAATAACTTGCTAAATATTCAAAAGAAACACATATCCAAAAAAATAGCACTCATTAATTTTACAACTCGGAAATCATAAAATTGACAGCTAGCACATAAAAAAAAATCCCAAAATTTAAAACCCATTAATCAATCTTACTATCTTAGTACATTAAACAGCCCAGAAATTAAATACAAGTACTGAAGGATTGAATAGGGAGGAGAGAGAAAGCAGCAAACCCAGAAGAAGGAGATGCATGATGCTCCAATGGCGGGACCCACAAATTACCCCGGACCCACTCACGATGCAGGCGAAGATCGGAGGAGCAGAAATCGATCTGCTCACGAGAACATCGGAAGAAAACAGAGTAACAATTAGAAGATTCTAGAATTCGAGTAACAACGCCCTCCCACCAACCATCGTTATGGAAGGCGTCAACATCATCCATGAGAGAGTAAATGCGGTGAGGTTCACGAGGAGGAATAGGGCGAACAAGAATGGCGTCAACGAACTCACAGAGATGTTTGGAACCAGCGTCGTCTTCCATGAGATTGTGGTACTCAACGAAGATTTTGCGGGATTTGCGAGAAATTGTGCGGAGAACAGTAGCAGTGTACCAGGAACCTCGGAGACCTTCGTCTTCAGAACTGACTTCAACTATGGTGCCTTTCTTGAAGATTTCTTCGTATTCGGATTCAGGTTCCGCCATTGATGAATGCTTCAGAGTTAGGAGAGAGAAAATAGGAGTGACGATTCAAGTGATGTTAGAAAGGAACAAAGAAAGAGAAAGGAAGGATACTCCTTTGTTAGAGGGTTGTATTAAAAAGTTTTTTTTTAAGGGTTGTATTAAAAAGGTTTTTTATTTTTTTTAAATAAAAAAAAAATTGCGTGAAGGAATGGGAAAATAGTTTTTTTCTTTTTTAAAAAAAATAATAAAAAAGTAAATAGACTTTTAAATTTTGATCTTTTGGAGACTAAAGTTTATTTTTTAGAAGGCAAAATAAGCTGAGGATTATATTAAATCAAACTCCGTCAAAGTTAACATGGGAGACAAAAGTTTGATACAATATTTATTTTTGTCATTCCCTACATTTTGGGAAACATTTTGAAAATCATTTTACTACTTTTTTTTTTTTTGAATAGATCATTTTACTACTTTAATACGGAGTAGTATACGTTATGATACAAATCTTCCGTCAAAAATAGATAAATAAACAAAAAAAATAACTCATAAGTATCTTGTAATTTGCTATATTTGAGTTGAATAGTCACTTTGTGCTCTTATTTTCTCTTTTGAATTTTCACTTTATTCAAACTTCAAAGTGTTAAAAAAAAAAAAAAAAAAAAAAAAAAAAAAAAAAAAAAAACGAAAGGGGGTAGTATTAACAATAAAATAATGCATTTTTGTATTTGTCATATGCTATTCTTGGCCAACATAAAAAGAGTTTGGAAGGGATGAGTATTGTATTGATTGTTCTCTCAAAAAATCATTAAGGGTCTGTTCTCATACGTTTATTTTCAGTTCAATTCAGTTTCTTAAGATTAACAAATAGTCAAATACAATATTAAAAGAAAAAAAATATATATTTTACATTAATGATTTGCGTTTTTACTACTCCGTAACTATTTTTTTTCCAGAATGAGTGACTCAAAAGAAGAAACGGAGAATATTTGGTTTCCTAATAGAAAGAAGTTGTATGGTCCTATCTCTAATGTTCTAATGTATAATCTGGTTTATGTTTGATACAAAAACTACTTACTGCTGTTATCTAGTTCTCATAACATTTCATTCCAACTTTAATAACCAAATTGGGCCAAGGTAATTAAAGATCATAAGAATAGGCCTTCAACCACCAGGTTCATGCAATGCAACCTAGGATGCTCAATTTAAGCAGTAACAAGATAACTTTGTCTAATACAAACAGGTATAATAGCTGATCCTGTAGACAGCAGTCACAGCACTACAAACAACAAATTCCGACTGCGATATTGCAGCAGCACATAGAGCAATTCTAACATTGGCCACCTCAAGTTTGCCAAGATAGATGAAACCCTCTTCTTTTTCTTTTTCCTTGTCTTTCACTACTTCCTAGACCTACTCAGATTTTAGCACTACAAGCTAGACCCGCTAATGCTCTGTACACACAAGAGTTACAAAGATGTATACAAGCGAACAATGTTTACCAAAGTGAGGTAGTTACTTTCTCGAACTCCTCTTCAGCACTTTCAAGGGCACCCTTGACAGCATTTACACTCGTCTGCAGCAATGCAATCTCAGCATCCTTTCTCTCTCTCTTTGAAACTACTAAGGCCCGTTTCTCCTTTAGTTCTGCAATCTTCTTATCTAACTCTGCAACCTCCTCATTGATTTGTGACTTCTCAAAATTACGCTCCATGATCTGACTCTCAATCTCTTTAGTCGTATTTTGAGCATGCTCGTACTTGCCTTTTATGGATATCATCTTGTTTAATTGCTCTCTAACCAGTGCTACATCAAATCCTAGTTCTTCCAAGTCAACAAGAGCTTCCAGATACCCATCCAAGAGGCTTTTGGGTTCACTAAAAAGAGATTTTGATATTCTCTCCACCAAACTGGTGAAAGTTACCATACTGCCTATGGCTAATCCTTCACGACATTCTTCCTTGCAATTATACAAAGGGTAGAAATGCGGCTTTTGAGGAATTCGCTTCAAAACTTCCATGTTCTCTATCATCTCCCAGATAAGGGAATTCTTTACAAAGGGCAAGTCTCGACTTTCCACAGGCACAATTGCAGTGGACTGTGATTGAATTGGCATTTCGAAATTCTTGTATTGCTCTTGGCTGACATTTTCAGCTGAAGTGCACCTATTATCTTGTTCATTCTCTTCAAAGAGACCAACAGGTGTTGTCTTCAATTCTTCTCCTCCATCTCCACTCTCACCAGATTGATTAGCAGTCCCACCCGGAGGGATTCCTGCAAATTTTAATTAAAAGTTTTAGCAATGATCAAACAAAGGGTATAAGCATGTAAATACAGCATCTTACTTGCATCCGTTGTGGGAGAATGTGCTCCTTCAAACCAGGCTGATAATGGCCTATCATCATCAGAAGCATTGCTGGAGGTTCCAGCAACAACATTGTCAGACTCTCTAGGTACTCCATTGTTAAAAACCTCAATGGCTTTTATTCCTGTATTATCTACAACATCTGCCAAATCCACACAAAAAACACATCCAACAAAGCATGAGAAAGATCACATAAGCATAAGCAACTTGCAAGCCAGAGGATAAAAATAGGGTTTTCATTTTCAAGACCACACAAATCCAATCACTAAAATTCTCCAGTATTACAAATAAATTGACAACTGAAAAGGTCCTTACATCTCCTTCAAAGGCCCAAAGCTACATAAATCATTTACAGTCATTAAAAACCATCTCCTTTGATAGGGTGAGAAGTGAAAACTGGCCACAAAGCTGACTTCATGAAACATACAGCCTTTACAGGTTTCTTTTAAAACGCCATGTGGTGCAATGAAGCACTAGAAAGCACAACAACCAAAAGCACCCCCAAAGCAAAATAAAATAAAAAATAAAAAGAAGTCAAACTTAACTTTTTACACGTATAAAGATGTGTTATACCTTCTCTTTGAGGATCAACCAGCTTGGTTGGTTTCTGTTTCCTTCCTTTCCTCAATACAGTCCTCAAAGCAACAGGTTTGACAGGTTCATCTGAATCCACCATGATTGATTCTGTTGGGATTTTTCTTTGTTTTCTCCCTTGCTTTTTTAAAGTACTTCTAGTACTCAGCCTACGTATGTCACTTAGTAACTTAATTTGATCTGTAAATTTCCTCACGCTTTTATCATGAAAATCAGTAGGTGCAGCGTTGCTATTGTCAGAAGGGTCAACAATAGTAATAGGCTTCTCAACTTCATTTGTTGGAAAGTGTCTTTCATCGTCATCTTTAGCATCAGAAGCTTCATCTTTCTTCTCTTCAACAACTTCTGGCACTGCACATGGTTAATTTACACCCAATAAGAGAAAGACAAAAATATTTAGAACTTCAACCCACAGTTCAATATAATAGATTGCATGATTATTGTATACTTGCATATAAATATACCTGCTTCTTTAGTCTGTGGACTACCAAGCCTATACAGCACTTTAGGTGGCCGGCCTCTCTTCCTCTTCTGATTGGTGACTTCACCTTCTTTCTGTTGCTCACTCCCCTAATAGAAAAGAAAGATATCCTGCTTTATTAGCATTCCTAAATGAGAGAGAGAAGACATTCCTCCAGAAATCTCGAGAAGGTTCGAGAAAGATGGAAAAAAAATAAGAGTTTTCAATACATATATATACATCCTCTGCTTTTTTATACTTGCAACATCTCTTTTCACGCTTGTCGATGCATATATGTGTGTGTGTGTCACACTCGTCAATGTATATATATATATGTGTGTGTGTGTGTGTGTGTGTGTGCATGCGTGTGCGCACGCGCGCGCGTGTGTGTGAGAACCACTCTTACGGTGAGATGTGTGTGTGTGTGTGTGTGTGTGAGTGAGTGTGTATGAAAACCACACATAAGGTACATGCAATAAAACTAAATAGAGCAAATAATGTTAAAAAAAGAGAGAAGTTCCTAAAAAGGACACATTTCATTTATATAAACACGGCCGGAAAAGAAAAACATTTTCATTTATTTAAACACGGAGGGGGTATATATAAACTAGAGGGGTAATCAGATACTTGGACAAAAAAAATTGAAAGGAAGAAATGTTTCGTTGTGAACAGATTAAATGAAAGTATAATCCATTTACATTGCTTACTACGCTTTCATGATCTGCTGAAGAATCCACGTTTTTCTCTTCATCATCTACAGCCTTTTTATGCCCCAATATCAATTGCTGACTTGAACTTTCACCTAGAGTGTCAATCATCTTGCCATTATGCGTCAGCCCTATGACTATAGGTCCAAATGGTTTCATCTCATCACTTTTATTTCGGGTTTGATCGATAGTATCTCCAACAGCATCCCCTAAATAATATGAAAGTTATGCTCAATCGACAATTTCCATCAGAAGAGATGCTGAAATTTTATAAAAATATATTATATACCTGACAGTAAAGGTCGCACTCTTGGTCTTCCTCTCTTTCTCAAGGCAGATTGTTTCTCATGGTCCACCTAATTAAGAAAATCAAACTGTTAAGGATCAATCTATACATCAAGTAATGAGTTAATGACAAATGGAAGGCAATTAAGTATAACAGCCACATAAAAAAAAATGACAGAAGGAAAAGCAAAAGAAAGAAGAAGCATTCAGAATTCAGCATTATTGAACCTTCTACTCACAAATCCTTTAGCATGAATAGTAAATCTTGAAAAAATTGTAGGAAATTATCATTTACATTCCACTTTTTACAAAAAGTTTGTTTTAAACTACCTCACAAAGCAATCTATTTGATTAATACTACAGTAGAAAGAATATTACTCACTCTGCACTGAATATGATAAAACTTTAAGCCATAGGGTAGTATATGACAATGCATCAGGGTGTTACCACATCATGCAATATTGCAATGGAGCATGTTAATGGAAATGTGATACTAGCTCAGTGCTGGTCTTGCCACCTGCTTCTTTCTTTCTCACTCCCAAGACTGCCTCAGGTTCTGTCACCAATTCCAAATCAGCAGGGAGCTGAGTAGGATGGGTGGGGTTGACAGGAACACTTCCAACTGCCTTCTTTAGTTGCGAGACGTGAAACACCGGATGCACCCTGCTCTCTTCCGGCAACCTCAAGCGATATGCCACATTCCCAACACGTTGCAAAACCTCAAATGGCCTACAGAAACGCGTGGCCAGCTTCTCATGTGGCCGTTTAGCAATGGTCTGCTGTCGGTATGGCTGTAATTTAAGGAGCACCCAATTGCCTATCTCAAACTCAACATCCCTCCTTCGACCATCAGCATTTGCTTTCATTAATTGTTGAGCCCGGTTGATATTCATCTTCAACTCGTCCAATTGCCTATCTCAAACTCAACTCGTCCAATTGCTGTCAGTATGGCTGTAATTTAAGGAGCACCCAATTGCCTATCTCAAACTCAACATCCCTCCTTCGACCATCAGCATTTGCTTTCATTAATTGTTGAGCCCATTCAACTCGTCCAAAATAAAGTCCCTTTCTAGGAGCCCTTCTTCCAAACTCTTCACTACAGTCGCACCCTGCTTCACTTTCCAGATTTTAGGAGGGTCCCTTACCATAAACGACCTTGAAGGGTGTCATATTGGTAGAGGTGTACGGTGAAGTATTAAAAGAATACTCCGCCCATGGAAGCCATTGGGCCCAAGATTTCGGTTGACTAACCACAAAACACCAAAGATAGGGTTCCAAGCACTTGTTAACCACCTCTGTTTGACCGTCCATTTGGGGGTGGTACGCGGTGCTCCTCTTGAGACGGGTACCTTGTAATCAGTAAAGCTCTTTCCAGAATATACTCATGAATACCTTGTCTTGGTCAGAAACTATGGATGAGGGAAACCCATGTAATCAAACCACTTCTCACACAAAAATATCAGTCACTTTGAGAGCATTGAACGGGTGTTTCAACCCCAAAAAGCGACAGTATTTCGGAAGTCTATCCACTACGACCAAGATTGAATTCACTCCCTTAGAGAGTGGCAGCCCCTCTATAAAGTCCATAGAGATGTCGTCCCAAACCAGTTCCGGAATTGGAAGGGGCTGCAATAAACCCGCGGAAGCTTGATGTGATGGCTTATTCGGCTGCCAGATCATACATTGCTGAACATATTCGCCTACCTTCTTTCTCATACCTGACCAAAACCAATAACCTGCTAACCTCAAATAAATCTTCACTTCCCCTTCGTGGACCCCTGTTGGTGTGTCACGATATTCCCTAAGAAGAGTAGGAATAAATTTTGAGCTTTTAGGAAGAACTACTCAGCCTTTATACATCATTCGATCTCCTTCTAGGTGGAAGCCCTGTTGGCAGTAGTGTCAGCCTTCAATGAATTCCGCAGCCCACTCAATCATGGATCACATGCAAGTTCCTTCTCAAATTCGGCCCAATCCACTAGCTGAGTGGATACCATAGCCCCAAACTATGCTGTAACACTCCCCTTGCAAGAGAGCGCATCTGCCACCCTATTGGATGGGTCGGGTTTGTATTAGATCTCAAAATCTATACCCATCAATCTTCTCATCCACCGTTGATACTCATTGCCCACTTCACGTTGTTGGGTTAGGAACCTTAAGCTTTGCTGGTCGGTCCTAATAAGTAATAACAAAGTGTCTCCCTAGCAAATAATGTCGCCACTTTGTCACAGCCAAACTAACTGCCATCAATTCTTTTTCATAGATTGACTTAGCTTGATTCCTTACTCCCAGCAACTTACTATAGTAAGCTAAGGGTCTTCCTTGTTGCATCAACACGGCCCCAAGTCCAAAGCCCGAGCATCCGTTTCTACTATGAATTCAAGCTGAGAATCCGACATTCTCAACACCGGTGTTGTTGTCATGGCAGTTTTGAGGGCTGAAAAAGCTTCGGCCGCTTTGCTTGTCCACATGAAACTATCTTTCTTCAATTGTGAGGTGAGTGGTTCGGCAATTTTAGCATAATTAGTCACGAACTTCCGGTAATAACCGGTTAAACCAAGAAACCCACACAACTCTCTCAAATTCCTAGGCTCTTCCCACTCCACAATTGCCTTCGCTTTATCCATGTCCATGGCCACCCCTTCTTCCGATATCGCGTGACCCAAATATGTTACTTCCCTTCTTCCGGATTAGCACTTCTTCCCATTAGCATACAACTTATGCTTCGATAATTGCTCCAACACCAATCTTACATGTTCCTTGTGCTCTCCTTCCTCCTTACTATACACAAGAATATTGTCAAAGAACACCAAAACGAACTTCCTCAAGTATGACTTGAACACCTTATTCATGAGGGATTGGAAAGTGGCCGGGGCATTCATTACCCAAAGGGCATTACAAGGAACTCATAGTGCCCCTCATGACTGCGAAATGTCGTTTTGTGAAAATCTTCGACTTCACCTTTATTTGGTGGTAACCGGACTTCAAAGTCCAACTTAGACAAACCATTTAGCCCCATGCAACTCATCAAGGAACTCGTCTATAACCGAAATTGGAAATTAATCCGACACGGTTTTTTTGTTTAAAGCCCTATAAAGGCTATAATCAACACAAAACCTCCACGAACCGTTCTTGCAATTCAACTTCCGTTAATCGCGGTGTATAAGTGGGATTCCGACTTTGCAAAGTGCCTGAGTTATTCGCCAAATATACAGAGGATTGAGATTCGAGTGGTTTGGTCCAAGACTTACTAGCCAGTAATGCGGTGGGGCACTCCATAAGTTTGGATCAGCCCACATCCGCCTATCTTGGTGAAGTTAGGTGGGATGAGTGAGTTTTGGCTGGCCAAATTTTAACCCACCCGGTTGCGATTTTTTCGATTGGCTAACCCAATTCTTCACTTCTATCCGACCCGCCAGCTCCATAGCACCTTCCAAGTGAAACAAATTCAACATCTAAATTTCTGTTTTTATCTCCCCCTTTAATCCTTTAATAAAGGGAGCCAACATATATTTTCGATATGCACTCCAAATGAGCAGTCAACTTGATATACCTCCTCCGATAATCCTTCACCGAGCCTTCCTGCTCTACCGCAAGCCACAACTCATATAACGACCCAGTAAGTGATGGTCGAAACTCATGTACCAAGCGCTGCTTGAGGCCCAGCCACCCTACCACCAGCCTCCTCTTCTTCCACTTCTTCTCCCACTGAAACCACTTGAGCGTCGCCCTATACATTGCTACCACCAAAGCCTCAAGTTATTCTCTCTATGTTAACTGATAAAAATCAAAGAACATCTCAGCACGTAAATTCCAATTGTCCTGTCCGTCCCTTTGAAAAGAGGAATCTCCGGTTTCCGGTGCTTCTAGTGGCCGCCGCCGCCACCCAACAGTTTTCTTCATTTCCTCCCTGAACTTCTGGTTTTGGTCTTTCTCTACCGCCATTAGCCTCTCGCGGTCAACCCGAAACCGGTCGATTCTGGCCTCTAGCCGAGTGGTGGTGTTAGCCAGAGCCTCTAGCCGAGTGGTGGTGTAAGCCAAAACCGCTTCTTCTCCAACTCCAATGCAAGAGCTACGGTCGTTTGAACCACCCTAATGATGGTCGCATCCTGGGTATCAAACTTCCCATTAACTTCCGTGAGTTGATTTTCCATCATCAAAGGCCGCTCCTCGACGGCGTCCACCCGCTATGTGAGCGTAGGGGTCACCATGATCGGTGCTCTAATACCGAGTGTTATAGACTAGGAAATATGAATATGAACTTGTAATGATAACAAAGGAAAGCTTGAATGATTTTTTGATTAATAAGAAGATAATGGCTACAATGAGGAAAATAGCATAGCTACATCTCTTGAAGGCTACTACAACTACTACTAACTTCTCCCAAAATATAACCTCTACTATTTCATTGCTCATTCTTATATATCAAGCTCTCCCTTACGAAAGTATTCTCACATTAAATTTCTTTGTCATTACTAAACAGAATACCCTTTGCCACAATACTTAGTGGAACATTAAACTTCCTTGTCTTCTTCCTGATGCTGCAGCTCCTGAATTTGTCTCTTGCTCTTTTATTTGTGTCTCCTCTCGTAGACCTTGATCGGTTAGTGGTGTGCTTCGGCAGTTCCATTGCACACTTGCTCTACTCCTTTCGGAAGCTGCTTAAAGCATAACCTCTTTTCTTTTTCTGAATAGTCTGTACTCATTAGGCAACCTTCTTCTCTTTTGTACCGAACTCTAGCCACAACCATGAAGAAGATTATTTTCTGGGTCTCTTTGATATGGCTCACTTCATTTGGCTTCCGCTGATGTTATGGTAAATACTAAATCAGCATTACTAAGTTACTATCTATAGCTTTTTCCAGAAGGATCAGCTCTTTTTTGCAAGTGGAAAGGAAACTAAAGATATAGTTCTTAAGTATTGTTAATTGACAAATTGTTCAATAAAGCAATTCTTGGAAAATTAAACAAGATTATTTTATTTATTTTTTTGAAAAAGTGGTATACAGAAGAATGCAATTTTTCAAAAATAAATAAATAAATATAGCATCATTGTACAGAACTAGACTGTTGTTACTGATGCTCCCTTACTAGCCACCAGCGCCATAGGGGCATCTAGGCATCTTAAAAATAAAGGTCGTATGAATAGCTTCTGCTTGTACACCAATTAAGAATCTAGGAAACTCTTCACAGCCATTAACGTATAAATGTAAAAGCAAGCCTACAATCAAATCTAGTTTAGGTAAGTTCAATTTGTCCTAATTCTATAAAGCCTTTTCTATGTCCCAACGAAGAGTAACATTTTTAAGATTATTTCAAATATATAGAGCATTTCTTACCTTTCAAAAGAAAACACTTTGTCTATAGAGCTTTTTTTAGAGCTTAAAAAAATCAACAGGAATGGTGACAAGTATAATCCTTGATGTTCTAATTCTCACTCCTTTCCCCACCCCAGCACAAATGCACAATACAAGACCACAATGGATTCCATTTGTATGGAAAGAGTGGAATATCAATAGTGACAGATTTTGTATAAAAAAGCAATAAGTTGGCCGTTGGAGTTCAGAAATAGCTTGCTCATGCGACTGGCCAATAGTAATGTACTTATAAGTGATATAACGCAAAGAATCTTCCAGAGACATACCTTCATCTCTGTAGGATCAGAAGGCTGACTGATGTCTTCAAACTGTTTCAAATTAGAATGCTCAGGATGACCAGGTGCTGGAGAATCAAAATCTACTGAAGTCACATTACTTGATCCCTCTATTTGTTGCGTTTTAGATTTGCATGTTTCAGGAGATAAAGGCACATCAGATGCAGATTCATCATTCGATTTTCTTGAAGGTCTGGAATAACTAGCATCGCCATTAGCACTTGTCTGTTTAGATTTTTTACTGCTAGGTGCTGCGCTGCTGTAATTGGCCTTTTCATTGCCAGGCGTTAACTCTTTCTGACAACTCCTAAGATTAATGATAAAATGTTTATCCGAGCCAGCACTTTCAGATGGGGCGCGAGTCTTCTCCTTGTTACCACCATTAACAATATAATTTGCACGCTTTTCAGAATTTGACGTCATTGAGGAATCCTAAAAGAGAAATATGAGTTAAAGTACATAGAGCAAGCACCAGAAGCAAGGCAATTGGTCAGGCCTTCACAAGAAAGGAATAATCCCTGCAATAAATAGCTACAAGCCCAAAGATGGCGCCTTCCTCAATTATGACATACATCCACAGCTCATACAATCTGTTTCCAGATAAAGATCTTATGGCTCAAACAGTTGCCTCAATTAAGGGACAAAAGGCATAACATCAACATCAAAGATAACTAAAAGCCAGAAAATGAGAAAAGGGCCCTGTTCAGAAAATCATTGATTGCAAATAAGAGGTGACCCGTTCCACAGTCTAGTTGAGGAGCAGAGTTGCATCAGCCATCAGCTGATTGTTCATATTTCACACTTTTTAGTTTCAATCCCAGCACCTTGGGAGTGTGGACAGAAATCCTAGAGCTAAAAGACAACCACCGCCAATAACTATGTAAGATTATAGGAAAAGAGCTTAAATCAAAAGACTATTTCTGATCACAACCTCAAATAGAACAATCCCCACCAACCATCTAACCACCAACATGCTAAGAAATAGAGGATACAGAAAAGGAAAATATTGCATGAAGGAAACTAAGATTATGTCAGGGATTTAAGGCAAAGTATATGAAGAGAAAGAGAGAGAAGAGAGAGAGAGAGGAAACATCATCTCAGGGATTTAAGGCAAAGTATACCTGGGAAGAATGAATCCACTTGCCACTACTCCACTCCATGTGGAGCCTCAAATCTGCATGAGACAGTTCCTTTTCCTTTTTTGTGCGCTTAAAGTAAACTATGTACCTTCCGTCTGCAAGAATTTTGGTGACCACCCCACTCAACCAACGATAATCGTAAAATGCGTCAACTTTCTCCAGTAAATTGAAAACTTTGTTACTCGAACTAGGAGGTGAAGGTCTAATATGATTAGAATCTACAGCTACTTTTTGAAGTCCAACTTCCTTTGACCTCTGATACTCCACCAAGAACAAGTTGTTAGCAGCTTGTTTAATGAAAGTTGCAGGAAACCAAACATCACAAGAACTCTCTGGATCAATGTTCACTTCTACAGCTGTTCCTGGGCTGAAATTCAAATCCCTCATTCTCTGTCAAGAATAAGAATCAAAAGGCCAGATCAACCACCAAGCTTGTAGATGTATGGATAGGAGAAGACTTAAAATTGTGAAATGAGCTGCACAGAAGGAGAAGACTTGTGAAAGAAAAACCTTTGATGTAAGTTATATTCCAGAGGAGGCCATGAAAAAAAAAAAAAAAAAAAAAAAACACTTATACCTAGTGCTGGCAAAAGTTAATCTAACACGGTAGCAAAACACAAACCAAAAACGTAATAATCAGTTAGTGTTGAAATTTTCAGCCCAATATTGGCACAAATTTAACTGCTCAATTTAAACATATAGAAAATTTTGGAACAAATTGTATATTCTTTAAACTTTTAATATACTACTATACTAGCAACTTAGGGGCTAGCCAAACATGAATTGATGAGAGTGGAAATGTGGAATGACCAATCGGGCATAAGAAATTGATTTAGCGTGTGCTTCTTGAATCACTAACTTAAATAGGTAAAAAGGGTCAATAGTCCTAACGGAAAAGGTCAGTCAAAATCTCAAGGATTCTAACACAATTGAATTAGATGGATCAGGTTAGTGTCAAGGGTTTTCAACATTCTAATTAAGGCCTTTAAGTGAAATTAGGCATACAATAATCAGGGATGAGGAGTGTAAAACCAGCTTACATTGTGATCCCCTAACACTTTCTGACTAGCAACTAAATCAGTGCCCCAAATATCCATGACCAGCTTGGGGTGGGGGAGAAAGAAAGATAGATCTCGTCCTAAAGAATTTGTCAAAGAGCCCTCTTCCATCAAGAAATTTAGAATCTAAAATCAAAATTTTGCCAACAAACCACTTTATTAGATTCAAAACATTTATGTTACATTCTCCAATCACAAATATAATTAATCATGAAAATTGCAAAGCCAAATTAAAAAGCCGTAGATCCATTTTTAAGTTGGTGGCAAGCAACAAACAGAGACCAATATAGCAATTCTAAGTCAATTGAACTTCACACAGCAATTTTTCAGAGGTATAAGCAAATAAGGTCATCCAGCACATTGCCAATTCTTAGAAGTTTGACTATTTTTCTAAGACAACATTCACATCACGCATCCATACAGGTCTGGACATAAGAAATTGACATGTTCAGGGATCAAAAAAGGATAATTGGGCAAATTTTATGAAGTGCCGGACTAATATAATTTTATGAAAAATAGCTATCTTTGATAAAAATCCAAACTAATACTCTAAAAGACTTCTTCACTAGAGTAAAGCTACCATTAAGCTAAAAGAATAGCTCATTGGGCCATGAATTTATAATTACTACTAGATTAGCTTCAGTGCGATGCACGGATATCATAAAAAAAGAGAGCTATTTAAATAATACTCCATAAAAAAAATCATAAGTTATCAAAAGGCTTATTAAAAAAATTGTGAAGAGTTTAATGTACAGTATTATGTACGGAGTATTAAAATATTTTGTAGTCAATTAATTCTTTTTTTAAAAAAAATTGTGAAAGAGAAAAAAAAAAAGTTTAGGCGGGAAAATTTTGAAGGAGAAGTTGACACGTGTAAAATTTGAATAAATGAATGATGTCAGTATAATGCATAAATTAAACCAAAACGAAAAAAAGGCACAAATGTCCTCGTTTCTGCAACCAAATCGTAAAACATGTAGCAAGTAAATTGCAACAAATGAATACTCTCAGCAAAACTTGCAACATATTCCATATCGGTCAACCAAAGCTAGCTGATTTCCTACCCATAATTTAGGTAGAGCAACAAGCTTCCACTCGAAATTGAACTGAAACCTCACATGAATGCAAGAACTTACGAGCAATTCAGAAAGCTTTGCCACTAGTCCACAACAAAGCCCTGAATATGACAAAACTCAGACCAATGCCCCTAAAAAGATAACAACTGAAGACTCCCTAGAGCTAAATTTCCAACAAATTCCATAAATCAGTCTTCCTAACAATAATAATATAACTGTGGTCAAAAAATTGAGCTGAAATCTCAGAGACAATCAACAAATTGAAGAACTGGAGAAACATTAAAAGATCCCAACTAAAAAGTACCTCAATTAAACCCTAAAAAGAAACAAACCCATAAAATTAAAGCAACCCAGATTTAAAATCTGACAAAAAAAAACCCAAACTAGAAAGAAAAAAAAAAACCCTAAAAAGCAAATTGATACCTGCTTTTGAGGGAGAACCCAGATGCCATGGACCCAATTCTTATGAATCCTAAGATCAGAAGCATCAAATTCTATCTCATCAGGCGGACTGGAGAAGAAAACTCTGTACCTATTTTGCGAAACAATACAAGTGACAACACCACACCACCAGCCATCTTGATAAAACGCATCAACAACGTCGTCTAAATCGAAAGAAACCTTATCATTTTTATCAACAGGAGGTTTAGGTCTTACGAATTCGGAATCAACAAATTCCTTCAAAAGGGAAGAACCATTTTCATCCGACAGTAAATTATTGTACTCAACAAAAATCTGTTGTTGGTTCTGCTTTGAATGAGGAGGTTGAATGACAGTAGCAGAATACCAGGCACCCTTGAAACCTTCTTCGTCGGAAGTAACTTCGACTTGGGATCCGATTGAGAAAAAGGGGTTAATTTGATTTGGATTTGGGAAATGGGGGAGTGAAGAAGAAGAAGATGTAGTAGTAGGAGTTGAAGAAAAGTGAATGAAAATGGGGGGTTTTCGTAGGTTTTCGAGACGTTTGGTTTTGGATTTAGGTTGCATTTTCTTTTCAATTTGGGGGAAAACTGAAAAGGGGTAATTGGTCATTATTTCACTCTCGCACTCCTCTTTTGTCCTCTGCATTTCACTCCGTAGTACAAACCTGCTTTTTCCCCCAATTTTTTTCGTTAATCTTCTTTTGGCGGGATATTAGTGCATTAGATTTTTAAGATTTTTAAGTTAATCTTGTTTGATTTTATTGGATGTGTATATAAAATTGTAAGCCTATTCAAAATTGAATGACTCAAATTTGGTTAGGATCCTACTAGACCTAGATTCACATTTGTAGTTTACGAGTGGATCTTATTTGCAAATTCGAAATTTACATATCTATATTTGGAATTATATCTAAAGTCACATGAAGGCCTTCAACATAATTATTTGTTATGCCATAAAAAATTTCAATAATTAAAAATATTTTTAAATATAATTATTCAACATGCTCTTCATCCCATAATATTGTGTCTATGGTACATTTTGGGTGTCCCAAAACAATATCTATATCTATTCTCTACTAACCTTCATTTAAAATAGAAGCTTAACGACAGCGACAATGGAAGAGACGAAGGAGATGACATGGATTAACAATACCATGCTCTCAATTTCACTTGTTTTATAGGGTTTTTCGTTTAATTTGGCGACGAATCGATAATGGTGATGTTGGTGGTGGAGATGTAGATGGCGTCGGTGGACGATGCATGGTAGAAGCATGCCTGGAGACAAAGAAGATGGTGGTGGAAAAGGGTGGTTTTTGGGCAAGGGGATTAAAGCTCCTTCAATTGTGGTTTTGGTGGAAGGTGGTTGGAGTTCCTTTAGTGGCGGTTATGGTGCAAATAGTGAAGGGTTGCAAGTGCTATTGGAACAAAACATAGGGTTGCATAACATCGGGTTGGGTTGGATGTGGTTTTGACACTTATATATATATATATATATATATATATATATATATATGAAATCTGAATCAGATATTTTTTTTGGGCCGATTTAGTATAACGGTTTGAAATTTGGATAGGTTAGCGAATTTCAAATTTCTTGTGTACTAATTAGGATAAATAATTTTTGAAACAAAACATTAGAACTTAACCATATGGCAATGAGGGGAGTAGCCCCTTAGCCTTATATAGTGGTGGTAACTCTTGAATTCTTTCAATGTGGGATTTCATTACCACTACACTCTTGTATTTAAAGGGAAAATTTATCATCACCAAGCATCGCCTAGATAATGTGAATATACAATACATTGATGTTTGATAGTATTGATAAGCTCCCAACTCTCATTACAATTAAACTAATTGTACTTTTAAAATATAAAGAAATATATTAAAAAAAAGATGTATCTCATTCTTACACCAACATAATGTCCAGTGGCGTATCCAGGAATTCCGAATTGTGGGTTCGGAATCTTAACAAACAAACGATACTCATGTATTAATTAAATATTCAATATATAAGTTCAAATTTGTTATTACAAATGGATGGATTAAACAGTTATAAAATAATAAATAAAAAAAACCTACAAAAGCATTCTCCAAGTTTTATACTTTGAAAGCGTGCTAAAACATTACTACTTCTATAAATGATAAATGTATAATTATATTGCAAAAAATCAATATTACACGAAAATTCGAAAAACAAAAATCCCAAGTCCCCAATAAACACAAATTTGATAATGAATTTTTTTTCTAATTATCAATTAAAAGATCAAGTAAAAATTTTAAATTCTAAGTTTCTAAATTCAATTTGTACGTCAACAATATATCAAAACTAATTAAACAAATCAATAATTAATCTAATTATCACTAATTTACAAACAAATAATGATTTAAGAATTAAGAGGAGTAGAGGAATAAGAGGACCGTTGAAACTAATACGTACTAAAGGATAAAAGCAATAATAATATTAGATAAGTATGAAGCAAGTAAAATAAAGAACTCATAATATTTCTTCATGCTTACTTCACCAAATACAAGAGCCATATATGTAGGCTAACAAACAACAAATAATAAGCTAAAAAACTGAAAGTATAATGCCATGTTTAACCCATAAACCCACTAAATAAACTCATTAACTTCTAAATTCATTTAACTCTCTAACTTAACAAAATGACCAACATACTACTCCTAAAATTATTGACCCAATTATGGACTAACTCATGAAGAACAACGGAAGAAATCGAAAGGGGGAAAAAAAAACAAAAAAATGAGGGTGGTTGGTCTCGAACCCATGATCAAGAGGAGCCTCACTACTCTATTAGTCACTCCCTTACCAATGTGCCAGAGTTACATATTTGTTTATTTACTTCACAAATTTTTTTTTTAACCTTATTTTTTTTTTCTTTTTTTTTTTAAAAAAAAAAAAATCAAAACTTATAATTTATTTTCAAAAAATCTGGGGGTTCAATAAACCCCCCTAGATCCGCCCATGATAATGTCACATCATTATTCAATATGTCACGTGTACTTATAGGGTTTGAATACAAGACCTCATTAAATGAAGACCAACTTATTACCATCCAAGGTATAAGCTAATGTTGTTCTATCTATGCAAATAAATATATAAATACATATTAGAAATAAAACCAACAATTATTCAAAACTATTTATTATTGTTATTGTAATATTATAACTTTTGACAATAAAAAAATTCTTTCAAACTCTTTAATAATAATAATGATAAAAATACTCAATTGAGTTGTGTAAAAAAAAAATGATAAAAAATACTCAAAGTAACACACGGAGCAACGCCCGGGCCGAACACTAATTAGACCTTAAAAGTATACGAGTAATTTGTTTATTGAGGTGATTAACGAAGTATAATTATTTTGTAAAGGGCTCCCCAAGACCCAACCCCCCAAGGACCCCAACAGCCAACAGACAACCAAACACCTTACTTAAACACAAAAATTTCGTACTCGTACTAACGAATTGTCTACTTCTTCCTTAACCTCAGTTGTGTTTATCAATGGCTTCTTCCTTAACCTCAGTTGGGTTAGTGAGCAACCCATCAATCTCTTCCCTCAAAATACAAGAAAAATCTTATAAATTTACATCCTTTGCTAATTTTGGACAGAAAAATCACAAAACTTTGAAGTGGGTTAATCCCAATCTCAATCTGAAAAGGGTGATTCTGATTACAGCATCAGCTTCAAATGGGTCTCCTGGGATCTATTCTTCCCAACAATTGGAGCTTTCAGTGAAGACTGTTGACCTAGTTTTGGAAGAAGTCAGACCTTATCTCATTTCTGATGGTGGAAATGTGGATGTTGTTTCTGTTGAAGATGGCATCCTTACCCTTCAACTTCAAGGTTTATTCCAAATTCAATCTTTTTTTTTCCCTTTAATTGGCATGTATAGTGTTATTACTTGATTGCCATATTTTTTTTAATCTTATTATCTTATAATAAGCTGTTGATTTAGGCTTAACCTCTAGAATTGGGCAAAGCTGAAATATTTTACTATGTTAATTGCAAAGGTGGAGTCTTTGATTGGTAATATTCCGTAGTTATTGCAAAGATGAAACATTTGATTGATGATGGTAATTGTAAAGATGAAATATTTGATTGATAATGGTAATTACGAAGGTTGGATTTTTATACTGGTAACTGTAAAGGTGAAATCTTTGATTGATAAATGGTAATTGCAAAGGTGTTTTGCTGAGCCCTTTATTGAGTAGGCGTATTTTGTCCATTAGTTGCATCAAAACCAGTTATTGATTACTCTATCATTTCAAGTTAATCAAGAAGTTACAAGTGTTGGAAATAAAGAAAGGAAATTCAAAGGGTCAGATATGGGCGCCCGATCGGGCGGCGCCGCCCGACCGGGCGCGAGAAGACGTCTGGACAAAGGGAGTGTCCGCCCGATCGGGCGCGTGTTTGTCTGTTGGTCCAACAGTTCTCTTGGATTCTTTTTCTTGTTTGATTTCTTGTAACCCCCCATTTAAGAGGTTGATTATGGTGTTTTAATCACCATAATATTTTTGATTTCTTTTCTTTGTTCACAGAAGATTCCTCCATGATCTTTCATCTTCTTCTATCATTCATCTCTATAAATTGGAGGATGTTTTTCTGATTTTAACATACACAAGAAATACATATCAAACACAAGCTTGCTTAAACACATACTCTATATTGGGCATAAGTTACTTGGCTCCAACCTTCCACCCAAAAGTGCCTGTGTGGAAGAGGTGTGTTAACCTTAGGGAACGTGCCGGCGAATACAATAGTGCACCCCGGTTGCGCCGGAATTTCGTTTTCAAGTCAGTGATTTGCATCACGACACACCGTACTCTTTCATTGTCACGAGTAGAGATGGCAATGGATCGGATTCGGATCGGGTAGAGCTTCACCCGTATCCATCCATTACTCTAATCGCTCCATCCACATCCATCCATCATCCGCTTCACCCATCATCCATATCCATCCGTCCATCATCCGCGGATGAAACGGGTGGAGCGGATGACTAATGGATGAGTATTAAAGTTGAAAAAAACTCACATAATTTTAATTTTCGGTTATTTGTACAATAGTTTTATTAATTTTATTAATTAAAAAGGAAACAATAACAATATATTGTTTGAAAAATTAATTTGCAACAAAAAAATACATATAATTTTCTTGCACATTTCAGATTTTATTATTAAAATTCTTAGATTAAAAAATTAATATATGTTAAACGGGTGGGTGGATGATTAGCGGGTGAAAAAAGTATCATCCATATCCGATCCGATCCATCATCCGCTTCATCCGTCACCCGCTTTTCATCCATTTAATTCGGGTTTTCATCCATTTATTTATTGCGGGTGGAGCGGGTTAGTGGATATCCACTTAATATTGACATCCCTAGTCACGAGATCATCTTTTCGATCTTCTTATTTTAGTATATAGCCTTGAAAATACTTCTTATATTACAACAACAAGTTCGTCCATATGTTGAAGCTGTTGAAGGGAGATGCATGGAGTACTTGTACCTCAGTCATGGTCTTTGTTAATGATATTAGGCCATATACTAGTAGTAAGAATACTTGCTCCTCCGTCCTTGTACTAAGATTAGGTACTTATGGCTCATGTTGTACCCAAAATGTTCTCATGTATAATGTTTGACAAAATTAGTATGCAATGATAATGAGAGTATTTCATGTAAAAGATTACATCCCTTTGATCATGGATTTGCCTAGGGTGGTGAATTCATCAACAAGATGTTTTTTATGGGTGATGGCCATTTGATGATGGCGAGTGACTTTCATCCGCAAACTTGAGCAAGTCATTGTCATTGAGATGGGCCTCAAGATGTACCATCCACGTGAGATAGTAATAGGAAGAGTTTGAGAGCTTTGGAATTGTTATAACAGTGAGGGGTTTTTATGGTCATTTGGAATGCTGATTGGATTGTTGGTTTTCATTGACATTCGACAACACAGTGGTGAGATGGGATGGACAAACGATAAGGATGAGTAAGGGGGTTGGAGCCAATAGCATGTACAAGTAGAAATTATATTTGCATAGCATGATGAGTATAGTCATGTATATATAGCTGTTGTAGACAATTTTCAGAATGTCAACTGTTGTGTTTGTTACCTTAATGTCAATTTTTACTATTTGTTTATGCTGATTGTATGTAATAATCTGCTGCACTTTCTAGCCCACAACTTGGATTATTTACCTTTCTTGGACATTCCTCTTCATATACTAGAGAGACTATAATTTAGTGTGGGCCTTGTAGTTAGAACTCTTAGAAGAACCCCTTTAAAGACGCAGGATTGCTGATAAACTAGACTAGTGTCTTTACCTATAATTTGAAAGCTGAAAACTGACGTTTTTATCTGCCAGAGGATATTTGCAACTTGTTGAAACCTGTGAATTGGGTGAAACTAGGATACTCCAATTTCTGGGGGCAAAGGGGTATAAAAAACATTCTTGGTGGAATTAAAATGTGAATGAATCTCACTGAATTAAATTCGGTCCATGAATCTAAAAAACAGTGAGAATTCTTGATCTCTCTCAATATATATTTCTCAATTCGAAAATCCAGGATTTGAATTGATAACCTGAATCTAAGAAATAGTTAGAATTCTTGATCTCTCTTAATATCTTTCTCAATTAAAAAATCCAGGATTTGAATTAGATGTCCTTTCATTATTCCTCCTGAATTGCATTGATGTATCCTACAGTTTCATTTCAATTGGAATTTGGTTATTCACCACGTAGTCCATAATGCTGGTCTTTTTTTTTTTTTTTTTTTTCTTCTTCCTATTTTCAGTTTATCATTCCTTCTTTCTGCTCTGATAACTACTTTCAGGGCTGTAGTTGTCCAATAAAAAGGCTAACATTCTGAAACCCTTTATATTGTAGATTTCTACATCAAAGCAATGATTGTTTGAATCACTTATATTTATTAATTCTTCTCCCTACAACCTAAAATAAACTTCATGGTTGACTTTGTTTCCAACTTTTATCACTTACTACACCAGTAGATGGAGAAGGGGGGAAAAAAGCATGAGTAAGTCTTTATATTAAAAGAGAGAAAGTTTGAGTAAGTCTTATGATAAGAGAGATTGAGAGAGAGAGTAAGTGACTAAGTGTACAAATCAACCATTTACTTAAGGAAAGAGCTAATTATTCTGAGGTAAAATATTGCAATTTAAAAGTGTATTATGGATGGAGGAAAGTTTAACTCTTGTGCGTTAAATTAATTTTACTGCATGACAGGAGCATGTGAGACTTGTCCCAGCTCAACAACCACCATGACAATGGGTATCGAAAGAGTGCTGAAGGAAAAATTTGGTGATGCAGTCAAGGATATTCGTCAAGTTAATGAAGCACAAATAAATGAAACAACTGTTAAGGTATAGCTTTCTTCAATGTTAAATATGTGATCAAGAAGTTTTGCCTTGTAACCATCTAACAATACTTTGATGTTTGTAGGCTGTGAACAGTCATCTAGACATACTAAGACCTGCTATTAAGAACTATGGGGGAGAGGTGGAAGTTATAACCATTGAGGATGGGGATTGCACGGTTAAATATAAGGGACCAGAGACCATTGGGTCAGGAATTAAAGCAGCTATCAAAGAAAGATTTCCAGACATTTCAAATGTGATCTTTACGAGCTAGAAAGGTAGTGTTTACTAGCTTGTATGGTTTTCATAATACTTTGTAAGACCATCTGTTGTACGGAAATGGTAAATCTTGTAGATAATTGATGTTTATTAACTCAACAAATATGATAAATTCATTAGAGAAAACTTGTCTATATTTCTACTCTTTAAGATATTGTTCTGGCTTTCATTTGATGCAAGATTGCAACAGCATATTGGATGAGAAATTCATGCCTCGTTCTTCACACCACGGGCAAGAAAAATCGATTTAAGCCATCTTGAAAAATTGATCAAGAATGGTGTGTAAACAAAATAGCAAGTGATGGTCCAGCTGACAAGTCCCTGCATTACACAATCCAACTCTTCATTTTATAGGGTGAAACTCGACTATATAGAGCGGTGTAAGTAGAGCTTAATTACAATTACCTCGCCAAAGATTTGTAAATTTGCCTGAGGATAGTACCATAGGTGCAAATACCTGTGAAATAGCAGAGGAATACACGATAAGGATTATGGAATTTCTGTTACAATGTTTTGGAAACAACATAATGTAGTTATACAATTTTCTTTACTTGCTCTTTTCCTTGCTATATAAATCTACTGGAATTGAAGATACTAGCACATGGTTTATCAAACTTACTTCATGATTGGTATCTCAGCTAGTGGGCAAGCAATGCCTATGATGCAGGCGAGAGCAAACCCAAACCATGTCCTATCAGTAAGGAACCAGACGAATCCTGCTGCTGCAAACAACGCATATGCTTCTACGTTGGCTGGGACACCTGATCTATACATCTCAGCACTCAGCTCAATAAACGCCACCAATGATCTGTGATAAAAACAAATGCAGAAAATTTGTGTTCATGTGTGTGTCTGTGTTACTGTGTATCAATATGATCATGGTTTTCCTATCAAAAATATGGTCATTTATGATCATTGTTTTAGAATAACTGACATTAGTGAGACAGCTGTTTTCTTAAAGCTTTCTTCTGGATTTATGTCGAGCGATGCTCTTTCATCTAAGTAGAGTTGAAATACTCCGATGGTGCAGTAGAACAATCCCAGTAGAAAAGGAACCTAAGCCATCGTCAGTGAGAGTGTGTGAGAGAAAGAGAAAGGCAGACATATTCAGAGAGATAGATAGAGAGAGAGGATTCAAACCCAAATATTGGTGTGCAGAGGACCAATTTGAACTGAACCACTTTGATAAACCACGAGGTCAACCCTTGAATGGAGACCATCAATGAGGGGACCCAAGAAGAAGCCCGAACCAAATAGTGAGAGCGCGATAGGTGGCCATGCAGTTTTAAGTCGTACTTTGTCCTGCTTCTTTAGGCTGCTGCACTTGGGTTGGCTCGCGACATAGATTGATTTCCTTTGTGACATTCTACAGTTGTGTAGAGAAGGCAAAACATGCGTGCAAAGTGTAAGGTGATGTTGCATCTTGGTTTCTTTATATTCGACGAGTTTCAGAAATGTACAATATGGAGTATATTTTATTGAGATTGTTGCTGAAATTTTAGTGTTGATGCTCCTCCTTTGTCTGATACTTCAAACTTAAAGTGCGGGAAAAAATTCTCAACCACATATTGTTGATTAGAAGGGGACAAAAAAAAATCAAATAAAATCAAGGAATTCAGTGAAGTATAAAACTATAATGTTGACAAGACTGGTATTTAACTCGAAACTAGTATTTTGTTTGTAGTTAAAAGGAGGTTCAATCTACGGAGTATATCTTTAGGCAAGCTTGCTCTTTCCCTGATAGTAGTTGGAAGAAGCTTATCTTAATGTAGACGTCTTTTAGTAACAGAAAATAATTTGCACGTTAAATTGGGAAAAAAAGCATTGCTGGAGTGGATAGCATAATATACACTAATATCAAAAGGATTGAATTTATTCAATGTAAGATACAAAAGATTTTTACCCTAAAAAGGAATACAAACGAGTTTGTGGCACTAAAAAACAGTGACATACTACATCCATCAGAAAGTTAAAGCTCCTAATTCTAAGGCATGGTGCTTGCAATCATCCGTCTGCTTTCAATTTCCGAGCTCTTTTGGTCGCTGGTGATGATGGAGCATCTGATGATCTTCCAGGCCCCTTCAAGTCATAATCACAGTTATTTTTAGAAGAATTTAAAAATTGGGAGCTAAAAAATGAAACAGACAAGTAAAATGCAATTTACAGAAAGAACTACATTTACCTTTTTTTTCTGATCCCTTTTACCGACTCTATCCCCTGTAATAGAAAATAAGTTTAACAACACAGTGACTTGTTAGCCATCTAATTATTAAGAAAAGCCAGTTAATACAAAAAAAAAGTAGGTGAAAAATGTTCACCTCCAAAACTAAGAGGCTCGGGAACAAAAGGGCGGTCCTGATCCCCAGCACGTTGGGAGCGCTGTTAAACAGACAGACAAGGAAACATTTAGGTTCCAGCAAAGTAAAAAAAGGACATAATTTTATCTAGTACTTCAATTTCAAATAAAAATTATGAAGTCCAGTTTATACACATGAAAACACATCTTAAGCATCAAGCCAAAGAGCAACAAAAAAGGTTATTTTTTTTAAAAAAAATAAAATAAAATATTAAAACAGGTAATAAGCTGGATGAAGCAATGCTGTAAAAGAAAAGTTGATGGTCATTTCAGGCCACATCAAAATCAAAATTTAAAATACTGATACTATTGAAACATGGAGTTCAAACCTTAGGTGTTTCTGGAGTGTCAATGTATGATCCCTCACGATAAGAAGAACCCTCTGCCTCCTTGTACTGAAACTAAGATTGCAAGTTACAATAACTCAGTTAAATATACAGGACACAGTCAATCTCAATTTTTAGTATCTCAGGGAGCAAATTACCTGCTTTTGAAGATTCAGTAAAGTTAAAATCTCCTTTCTCAATTCAAGATGCTCGGCACATACAGATTTTGTTGGGACCTTTGGCTTCAAATTAACCTGAAAGAAAAAGGCAATTTAATCCTACATAAAATTAATCCAACAAGAAGAAGGAAACAAGTTGATGAAAAACAAAATGGTGAGATGGAGCTCCAGAGTTATGCATCTGCTCCAAAAGGCATTTTTTAAACTTATAAAAGGCCATCCTTTTATATCTTTTCCACTCTCTAAAATAATTATCCGAACCTGTAAATAGAGAGGGTACACATCAATGGGAGTAGGGATTGAAGCGGGATTTCTCTATTTCTTTGGTCCAAGGGAATGGGAATGGGAATGGAGCTGGAAGGGCTTAGATGGCTGGCAGCTAAAAACATAGCAAGGACTAATGACATTCCTTGGCGGCCTAAAAAAAAATGACATTCCTTGGTTTGCACTTCTAACATGAGAACAATAACCCCACATATAGCCAAACCCACCAAGTAAATTTGGCCTTAGTGGACCAGTTATTTACCAACTACTTACAAAAACTCAAGAGCAGGAATATATTTCAGGTTTAACAAAAAGATTTGCATCATGAGGCAGGTGCTTAACTGCTTATACAGGCTCCAATGATGAAGCAAATTGGACCCAATGCAAGTTGCAATCACATTTTCAGATAGGCAAAATATAAGATAGATGCAAGCATACATAAGACAGTCAGTCCCTTTTTTGTTCTCATTAAGAGTCACATAATCCTCTATGACGTGTCAATGTCACTTATGCCTTACTGCAAATCCGTAACTGCAAATCCGTGAACACACACACACACACACACACACATAGAATATGAGGGGGGGGGGGGGAGAGGTGGTGCTGTATTGGAAGACCATAATTGTTGTACCACAGCATAGTTTCTAAATGTCAAAGATTTAATATCATTAACCACTTTCTATTTTCCACAATAGATGACACATTACTATCTATCAACAGCAGATATTCTTTAAGAGATTCAGGTCTTAGAATTCGAGAACTAGCTAGGTTAATATGAACAATACTCAAACCCCATATACACTAAAGATTCAGTAGCTATTTCCTCTTTACATTAGCTTCAGCATCACATATATCACACCATATTTGTATAACCAGTATATTATGAACAATAATACAAATTTAACAAAAGATAAAGAACAAACCCCAAGATCTTGCAAAGTCTGCTCAACTCGCTTGATTGTTCGAAGGCCAGCAGAAGAGCTAACAGCCTGTACCATTTGTTCAAGAGCATATGTCCTCAAGTATACACGCATCTGCAAATAGTTCAGAGGTAATATAAATATTCATTGACTGAATTTTATACCTACAATATACAAATTGCAAAGACAAATGACATGGGATAGATGAGCTATTTGACGATTAGTAAAACATTGACACAAGAAAAAGGTTCAGAGAGACAGTTCCTAAAGGAACTCACCGAGCGAAGAGAGGCCAGGGTGGCAGCATTATCTGCTGCAGCAGGAGCTGCAGAGATAGGTGATACAGAACCAGGATGAGCAGTGCGATCAGCATCTGCAGCAACATCCGAGGTTGCCGGTAACTCTGACTCCTCTGCTTCCTGGAAAACACATTGAAAAATCATAAGTCAAGGTCTTCTATTCTCCCTCTGCATGATTGGTTGACCGGTGGCAGAGAAGATAAAACATATCTAAAAAATTGGTGTCAACCAATTAGATATGCAATCCAACCCTTAAAGAGACACATGGCATTTAACTACAAAATAGTAGAAAATTGACACAGTTTCAAAGAGTTTAAGGAAAAATATTGAAGTGTGACTGAACATTGTGTTATTCTTTACCGCATGTATGTTGTAGCTAGTTACAAACATACAAGGCGCCTGAAAATCTAAGAACTTGGACTTTGTTCAATTCACCTTGGCTGAAATAAAAATTTCAGGGAAAACAAGTTCAACTAAGACCTACCCATGAACAATTCACAGCTAAAATAACTTAAGATTAGCTAGGCTAAGGACCATTAGTTACAGAAATATTAGTACAGATTAGCTCAAATCACGACCAATAAGTTCATTTATAGAAAGAAAAGCTCAAATTTAATCATTAAAGGGAAATATACTGAGCAGTCAGCAGAAATTTGCTTATTTCCTAAATCCTAACACTGAATAGGGCTATGTTCTCATTGTCAAGATAATAGCCTGAATCAATTATCGGGAAGAATAAATTTCTTGTTATCTCCAATAACTAAAAGCATTTTGCTAAGCATTAGCATGGCTTCCAGCAGTAATAATGGCAGAAAATTAGGAAGAAAAAGACTGATTATAGTATTAAGATGAGAATTACAACTAATTGAACGATAATTCCACTTTCGGGAGGTGGATTCTCTCCTAATATGAGCTTTCGAGAGGCTCACTCTCTCCCAATAAGAATCCTCACAATATTCAACATGATGATTTTTCCTCCTAATGAAGCCTATTTATAGAAAAATTATAATAACAAACTCTAACTTATTCCCCAAGCTACTACTAATAGGCTATGACTAATATACCCTTCCCCTAATATTGATTCCTTGCACATTTTACATAAGCCATTTTATAGCTGAAAAAATATGAATGACAAGCTCAATCACATTCAAAGAGGGGTAGAAAAAAGGTAGAGGACAAGTAAGATTAAAAAGCATTAACAATACATAGGAGGTTAAGAAAATGATCATCAAAATCAAAAGGTAAAAATATAAGGACCGATCATTTTGAATATAGCTGAATACAGTTTTCAGTCTCATACTCTATCTCACCCTAAGATAACAAGACCCTTTAAAAATCAATACCAGAAATATCGCAGATGCACAGGCTAAGAGTATGGACTACAAAAGCTGGCCAGTTTTTCGAGTAAAAAGCACTATTTTCCCCACCAATCACATTAAGTGAACAGTCATATAAAAGTAGAGGTAAGTGCAAGCTCAACATATCCTCTTTAACAATAATTTTTTAAACATAGATCAAGCAGATAGCATCCCGACTCATAGAATACCTTAGCCAACAAACGTGCCTCTTGGATTCTTTTAGCTTCAGCAAGAACCTGAAAAACAAGAAAACACAATAAGAAGTGACAATGATATGCACTAATAACAAGTTAGCTAATAACTAGATTTCTAACAAAGATTGCTATTAAGGCTACAATATAGCTTTGTAGACTATAGATAACACAATAAAGTGCATACCTCAGCGTCCTTGCGCTCTTGATGTTTTGTTTGAGAAAGAACCATTGACAAAGCACGCTTGCGCTCTGTCTCCTGTTTTGCATTGTATGGTTCCTATTACATGAAAGCAGGTTGCAGCAATATGTTAATACAATTACAAGCAGAAACCTTAATAGGGATATCAATTAGCCGATGCATTCGTGAACAGCTTGTGAACAAACTTAATCAAAGCTAGTTCGTTAATAAACAAACGACATGAACGAAAATTTCAAGTTCGTTTAGTAAAAAAGCCTAGCTCGAACAGCTTAGAATTTGAGTTCTTAAGACTCGTGGACAGATTTGCTCATGTTTGTTTATATGCTCATTTGTGTTTATTTATAAGCTCGTTCAAGCTCGAATATTATTAATTAAGAAAATCTATGCCCATTTTTTTTTTTTATACATGAATAATTTTTTTAAGAAATTTATAATATCACAAAAGATAACCAAAATGTACATCATCAAAAATGGTTATTTTAATATTAATTTTTTTTTAATAATAGCATGTTTATTAATATATCTGTTTAAATTCAATCTTTGCTCATTTATTATGACTTGTTAACATAAAATCTCGTTTACATTATTGTTGTTGCTTTGTTGTTGTTGCAATTTATTGTAGCTCAGCTCAAGGTTGAGCACTAATTAAACATTCTTTCAAAAAAAAAAAAAAAGAGCACGAATTAAACAGCCTACTCATAAGCTAAACTCAAACAACAAAAAATCTTAAATGAGCCCAGCTCGAACAAGCAAAATAAAGCTCAGTTGTTTAATTCATGCTACTTGCGTGTTTTCTTATCAAGCCTAAATCGAACAGCTAATACTCAGTTCGATTTAGCTCGTTGATATCCTAAATCTTAATAGATAGTTAAAACGATTTATTGAACAGTTCACCATACCTTAATCAATGGATGCCCAGAAACATCAGCAGGAGATGGAGCTCTAGCTATCAGTAAAGCTCTAGTCACTATATAAAAGAATACGAAGATAAGTAAAAAGGACTGAATCAGCTGAAGAATTTAATTCATATTTAAACATTTTCCAAGCAAAACACTTCAGAAAATGCAGAGAGAGAGAAAGGTATGAAACACAAGGTCAGAGAAATACCACTATAATATCGATCCTTCAACTCCTCCACAGTCCGATGCGATGGGAACCTATCAGCTACTAAGACAAAGCGGAGATCGAACCTCTCACACAGCTCAAATAAGGTATCTGTCTCTTCCTTAGTCCATTTCTGGAAAGAAGATAATGCCAAAACAGAGGGGGTAAAAAGGGTTAACGAATAAGATGCAGTTGTACATTATTATGTGCTTAAGCAGCATAGGATACTTGGCAAGAAATTTTTTTATGAAGGATGAACTCTCAAGGAAAAATCCAGCAAACTCAAGTAAGGTGCGTGAAATGACAATGTTCATGCACAGTGAATCCTTGGATAAATTCTCAACAAACTCAACTTGAAGCAGACAGTAATTGCAGAATAATTTTTTCTAAAGTACTATACATGCATATCAAGGTGAAATATCAAGATCAAAATAAATTTGTTATGTATTAAAGGGCTTCCTTCATTTTTTTTTTCTATTGAAGCATTTGGGTTTTTACCCTTAAAAAAAACAACCTTTTGACCAACTATTGTGATTTTTACAAAAGGAAAATTATAGTTATATGGGGTCTTGTTTCATTCGTCTCTAATCTCGATATACACTTTCGAAATAAACTTGTCAATTTTTACAAAAATTGAACAAAAGATAAATTACCCCGAGATGTATTCCCTACTATATTAAGACTTTTCGACACCGGTTTCCGATACCTTTGAAATTTCTCAAAAAGCGTGGATTTTATTCTTTAATTTTTGAATTTTTTGACGTTTTTTGACTCGGAAAAAAAAAATCCCGAGATGTTTATCTTGGACCCTAATATCCTCTGAACTGGGTGGGTGGAACCATCCAATTTGCCTTTAAATAGTCAATTTACCCGTTTACAACTTGCATCGATTTCATAAACTCTAACAACCCACGTACATTTGTGACAACATATAATGGTCATATATGATTCCAAACGGCATTATATAACCCCGAGATGTATTCCTTAGTATCTCAATACTTTTCGACACTATATCTCAAAAGTTCCAATATTGCTCAAAAAGCGTGGATTATTGCCTTCAATTTTGGAAATTTTTGTCTTTTTTGGCCCGAAAATAAAAATTAACAAGATGTTTACCGTGAGCCCGAATACCCTTCGGGAGTCAAATTGGGTGTGTGGAAGCATCCAATTTGCTTTTAAATTGTCAATTTACCCATTTACAACTTGCCTCAATTTCATAAACTCAAGCTTACCACGGAAATCTATGACAACATATAATAATCATACATGGTTGAAAACGGCATTATATGCCCACGGATGTATCCACTAGTATCTTAAATCTTTTCGACACCGGGTCCCAAAAGATAAATGCTCAAAAGTCAAAACCCAAAAATTCACATGTTGCAAACTTGCAATAGATAAAGAACAGAGGAAGTATTTATTATGAATTGATACCTACAGGATCTGTCAAGTAGTTCTCGTACTCCTCATCTGTGTATTTGATAACATCAACTGACTGGGACACAAAAGCAAAAGGAATGTCATTTCAAGAAGTAATATAGCAAAGCAGCCAAAGAGCCAAATCATTAGGAATAATGTGGGAGCACAAGGGGGAGAAACTCCAATAACTCAGACCATGAGGTTGCTCAAACCCTGTCTAACCAATCCTCAAGGTGGGAGGGGAGAGGTTGCTCATTCAGTCCTACTATTGTGTGGTACAATTTAGAAAGCTATTTTTCCATATCCTACCATCCCTCTCCACCCATGCCCCAAAATACAAGACAGGCTAATATATATTCATCAGTTGTAACATGTTTATTCTTAAATTGGCTAAGGCATAATATACAGCAATTTGCATACCTTGTTATATTTGGCAAAAGGATAATCACCCGTTGGAGGCACACCATTTACAACTCTGACCTACATGAAGAATTGGAAAATTCAGTTAATGCTCAATATAAAAATCAAACAATTTCATATATTAAGAAAGAAGAGAACAAAGTGAAGAAAAAAATACCCAGTGGTAAAGCTCCAAATTATCTTTCCGAGCTGAATTTGTGAACGAAAGCCATTGCCAAGTAACCTGCTCAAGACATAGAAAATGGGAGACTTAAATATAAATTAGCATTTATGCTCCAACCCTTCATCAAGGTGCATCACCCTCCAAGACAATTAGAACTACTTTCAGACGTTCATCGATACATTTGACAAGAACCCAGATTAAGCAAGCGCCCACGGAACCTATGTTACTCACTGCTTAAACTTAACTTAGAAAATACTAAGTAATTCATACCATTGAAGTGTCAATTGTCAATTATCTACTTACATGGCTATAAACCCAGTAAAATGATCAGTTCAAGTAACATTAATGTAACTTCTTTATTACATGATTACAACTCGATGACAAATTCATTCCAAGACGAGATTTTCCAAGCAATTAGGCTCAATTTCACAAAAACCAAAAGACAAAATGATAGAAAATAAGCAAAAGGGTGTGACCTTCTCATCAGTTGGTGGACGTTTCTTGAGCTGAGCGACATCAATTGCAGGCATAAGAGGTGGAACTCCTCCAGTAAGCATGTAAACCTATTCATTTTTCATACAAATCAAATATTCAACATCTTCCCAAAATTATGAAATTCAAAGGGCAAAAAAAGGAGGAGAGAGAAAATTATCAAAACCTCGCGAGAAATGCCATCGGGCTTCCGGTGAGGTTCTTTGGGAGGTTTAGACTTCTTCTCTTGTGATAATGGCAATGCGTTTTTGGGTATTCCCAGAATGTCTTTTGCATCCATCTTTCACTGCCTTCTCCAGATCTGATTATTAGTTTATCTGGGAGAGCGTGTAAATTCGATTTCTGGGTAACTTTGAATATGCCCTAAATCAATTTGATCTTCAATTTTTCAATTTGGGGATAAATGGTAGGGAGGTTTGGTTTGTGTTCTACTACGTAATAAGCAAAATTTTCCGAGGGAAGAACGAAGATTAGTGACAAATCAATAACGAGTTGGGCTGTTCTCATAGACCGAATTCAGTTGAATTTGAAGTTTTTAAACATGTATTAATATTGAAGATCGTGAAAAGTCAAATGCGATAAATAATTAGAGTTAGAAAAAGTAAGAAGTGTAACTAATTGTTTTCTTATCAAACTAAGAACAAAGTATGAGTATATGTTATAATATCATGTTTAATTAATACTCTGTATTGAATTGATTTTCCATTCTCCAAATAGATTTCTCGTTGTTAGTAAAAACATGTTTTTCAAAAGAGCAAATTGATAAGTATGGCATAGTTACAGGTATGCACCATAGCCCATCGGCGACTCGGCGTTGCTACCCAACCAAGGGCCTAGGAATAAAAGGCACAATGCATGAGTGCTAAAAACACATACTACTTCCGTTACAGGTTATGTGCAACGATTTGACATATAGCAGAGAGGAAAAATGTCTAATCGTTGCACATAACTTGTAACGGAGGTAGTATTAGTAAATATGGTCATAGATTGACTAAAAAGTTTTTCAAAAGGCATGAGCATGAGAAAAAAGCCTAACCAAGGCAATGTATATTATATATGACCAAAGTACACAACAAATATCAGCACAAAAATCACCTCAATGCTCATTCCAATGCTAAATTATAGATTATGTTATACGATATATCATTATTCTTTGTGACCCTCTCTACACCCATAAAATTACATAAAATTGATGCTTCATATTTTATTAAAATGTATTGTTATTACTTTTTAAGCAATGTAATTAACCTTGAATCTTTAACATCACACGGAGTTACAACTATGCAACTAGTTATCAAGTAACAATAAAAATTGACTTGATTAATTAGTCAAAGATGAATGTTTTAAATTTCCACCTAAAAATTATACAAGTAAAAGTAATCAACAATAAAATAAAAAAAGTTAATTATAATAAATAGAAGCAAAACAAGAGGGAAATAATAGTGGTGAGCATGTGTGGGCTACTATCCTTGTCCCCATATTGGGCATATATATAAGTCTGAGTCTCAAGTCTGAATGCAGACCTCGCTCGCTCCTTTCTCTCTCCTCACTCAACCTCGTTCTTCTCTAGCTTATGCAAGGGCCCCATTTACCATCCAAACTACTCTTCTTCCATACTTCTTCAACCCAATCAATGGTTTACAGTATGAGGTAATTAATTAAGTATACTTCTATATATCATTTCATGATTATTTTGTTAGTATTATTATTATCTAGCTTTTATGTTACATGCATCAAAAATCTAAACTTCATGTTTATATGTTATCTGATTCATACATGCTTATTTTATTTCATTCCCACTGATTATTAGTAATTTGTTTGTTGATGGAAAGCATAGGTCCTTTGCTGCCCTAAAACACTGTGGCCATGCTCATCATCATCAAGGTGTACAAGAGCTCCGGAACACGGTTGATCTCTCAACAACACACACAACAACGACAACGACGACAACAACGCATGATGATAGTAGTGTAGAAGGAAGAAGAAGCTTCTCATCACTATCATTAGCTATAAAGTTTTAGCCTTTTATTCGGTGCTATCCTACCTGAGCTTTATATATTACTCTACCTATCTTTTTTATTCTCTTTTTCTTGACCTTGTAAGACCTTTTCTTGACCTTATAAGGCCTGGTCCAATCTTCTTAACCCTAGTTTCAATCCGAACCAAGGTATTCATCATTGAACACGGATTCGGTATATTAGTTAACTAGGGTTTAACATAACCTTCCAACTCATCATTTCACCTCTTGTCTATCCCTCCTGAGCTACAGATCCAATTACTACCTAAGTCGATCTTCCATGGAATGAAGTTGCTTTGTACAGTATATGTATATCTTCAATGTTTCAAAAGCTTAGCTTGCTCATCAAAGGCGGCGGCCTTTCATCAACATGTATGTATGGAATACCTTAAGGCTTTAAGGGTGAATCAACTTGTAAACCCTTCCTTTCACTTCTTATTGTATAATACTTATATATTTTTGTACATTATCTCTTATGAGAACGAATATACAATATTAAGCCGAATACCAAATAGACACTCCTCATAAAAACAAAAGGGCCTCGATCTCCCGTGTCCCGTGTGGCACGGCTAATTTGTTGACCAGGGCAACACAGAATTTGAGGTGGCTTCTTTTGAATATTAAACAGTAGCCAGTTGGTTGGCAGCTTAGAGTTGTGTGAGTTTTAGTGATGGAAGCTTTATATGCTTTGAGCTTCGTTAAAATTGTTCTCTTTTTCCTATGTAAGGCCACATTCATGGTGTACTAGTATATAATAATTGACCTTAGCTAGTGCTGTGGTTTGGTGCTGCGCAAAATATTTGTCCTTTAGCTTTTTCCTTAAGTAAACAAATGTTGTTAGTTTCTTACAAGAGGGACCGCATGTTTGTTACCTTTTTTAATCAAGTGGATTGCTGTAGTGACACACTCCCATGTATTTTTAGGGCACTGTTCTACTATACAAAGGTTCAAATCCTCTTCGATTCATTTAAGATGTACAGAGTTGTTTACATTACATTTACATGTTTCAAATTAAGGAAATGATTTAAGAAAATTTCTAATCGAGTTATATAATCTACCGAACAACATGTTTAGATGAAAATTCGATATTATAAGTGTTATCCATTAGTCAATGCAACCAAATAACGCCTAAAAATAAGGACCAATTTTAAATACTTCGTGTGTGTATATATATATATATATATATATATATATATATATATATATATATATATATATATATATATATTAAAAAAAAAAAAAACTACACGAATTAAAAGCCCCTCATTAAAAAGAAAAAACACATGAGCCTATGGCAATGAGGTATATGTTAATAGGGTTATCACCAATTGAACATTCAGAGCAGATCCATCAAGGACATTATATGAATTGGCTGCCAAAATTAAATCTATGCATAGTACACTACAAAGTGCCAAAAGGCTTGAGCAATATATACCCCAGCCCAATCTTCGTTTTTGTGGGAGATATTGGGCAGCGATTAAACCAACCAATATATGCCAAGACAAATTGTTGTCATTATTCACGATTCATTGCTTGTAGTTTTAACCAAACAGACATTCGTGTGACCTATTTCCTCCACAAACTTATCAACTACAATAGTCACTACTCCGTATTATACTAAGACAATGCAATTTTCCTATTGCGCCAATTAGGTGATTAAGTACACGTGCCATCAGCTATAAACATTAATTATGATCGATTGACAAATAACCAATTATATACGGAGCATACATTAACTGCTTCTCAGCCTATATATTAGACATTGAAAGTTTTAAGTTTACATTGAATTGATAAACTTAATTAATTTTGCAAATTAGATGGCATCAACTCATGCAAGAAAAAAGTCAAGTCTTTTTATTAAATTTCATATCAATCTTTGCAAAGAAAATCAGTCCTATGGTTGAAACTGAATTTTTTTGTCAACAGCACATCGAAGTAAAGATCTCTTTGGCTGAGAACTAGGTATATCGAGAAATTTACAAAGTAGTTAGCTAGCTACTAGTAGACAAATTGTTTAAGCTCCTATTTATCTAGGACCACTACTTAAAGTCTTCCATGTTTATGTATAACAAGAAAATATAAAAAAAAGACATATACAAAGTATAAAATACGAGTAGTTAAGCAAATTCATTTCTACTTAAATTATGATGTTCATAATACCTGTTTAATGTACATAGGTACGAAGAAAAATGCTTAATTTAACTCATTAGTTTAATTTTTAATATACAAATAACAAGTAAAAACGATTAGTTATGTTTACTCGACGTATGATTCACTATAATAAAGAGGTACGTATAGTATAAAATGGTTATGGAATAAAATGGTTATGGATGGGACCGGGGAAGGGTAGTGCAATGAGGTGAATGAAGTTGACAAAATAGAGGTGCCTCAATGATAGTGTCCTTTGACACTCGATCATAACGTGTATTATTATGTGGAATAGATGAATTGAAGGCAACCGGAACCCGTGAATTGAAAATATATAGGCACCTTTTTGTGGGGACTAGCGAGTGTCGAGCGCATTCAACGCATCCCTTTAAACTAAATTTCCATCTTTTAGGTAGCACTCACATGGCCAGCTTTCCTTTCCCATTTTTGGTTTCCTTAATATCTTTTCATACTCCTTATATTACTCCACCTGTTTTTTTGCTAAATTTATTTTTAAAATCATTATGATTAATCATTCTGTTTCTGATTATTTATCAAATGCTTCTGTGTCAAAGAAAGGTGGGCATATAAGAAAATAGTGAAAATTGGTTGATTGAAGATTGAATGGTATTGAATAATAAATAACATAGTGAAGTATGATTGAATAAAAAATAGATAATTCTTAATAAAATACCGAGGTTTGATTGAATGAAGAAATTTTTTCTAGAGTAGGAGTGTAGGATCAATGGAGCACCGATTACATTAAGAAGATAACACGACCAACTTTAATATGGCATAGCGTGAGGTGGAAATGAAATCTAACTAAGTGTATTAGATTATAGATAATGGTTGAGCTATATTTATGGATTTTTTTTTAACGAAATATATTTACAGGTTATGTTAAAAAGTATGGCAAGACACAACACACCTTGACATGATATGATACCACTCGATACAATATACATATGGGCTCTAGCTAGCCTTTGGAGAATCACCGTATGACACTTATATGATTATATTGGTTGGGCCAAAATAACCCCAATATATGTGAGCTTAACATGAGAAACAAGTATACACTATACAACACCATATGACACAGAGTCGTCATTATTTATCAAGGATAGGGAGACTTGGGTTGTACTCTTTGTGCATTCATTTTTAAATGACATTTTTTGACATTTGAAACTATTCATAAACTCTATTTTGACTATCTTTAGTGATCTATAGTTATGATAAAACATATTCATGTCAAATCTTATTAAAACCTTCGCAAGGTATATTTTTTTAATAATTAAAAATATTATTGATTGAACATGCGTTGACAAACGTGATAAAAAAAAATATGCCGACTTAGCCCAAAGCAACGAAAATAGATTTTAGACAACCTCAGGTGCCCTCCCTAAAAAGGCCAATTCCATAGTGATATGGGCTTGAATGAGCAACAGCTTAACCGAACCATGTGTCAAGGCCTCATGGGTAGCCCAAGTTACTAAAAGGCCCTCATTAAGAAACAGCCCGTTAGCCCAATCAATCTGCTGGAGCGATTATAAATCTACAGTAACCGTAAACATTACGTCTTGTCTGACCACTCTTTCTCGCTCCACCTAAAAAATACAGAGTAACAGAATTAACAACGCACAAGCCTACTCAAATTCTGCCAACTGTAACTTAGTCCACGTGTATTACCGTCATTGGTTCCTATGACCTTGCTCTTCTCACTCTCAACAAACAATACGGAGTACTGTACCTCACAAAAAACCCCTCTTAAAACTCTCTCTAGAGATTTCCTCAAACTTCACTAATCATCTTCTTCTTCAAATATTAATTTCTGGGTAAGTAAAGATTTGATCTTTGGAAAGCTGCTGCAATGTTGTTAAGATTAGGGTTAATTCTTTGTATATTCGCAATAATCCCATTAAAATCACAATCGGCAGTGTTAAGCATAGATCTGGGTTCAGAATGGCTCAAAGTTGCTGTCGTAAATCTAAAGCCTGGCCAACCTCCGATTTCAATCGCAATCAACGAAATGTCGAAGCGTAAATCCCCAAATTTAGTGTCTTTCCAATCTGGAATTCGTTTGATCGGTGAAGAATCCTCCGCTTTGATCGCTCGTTATCCGGACAAGGTTTACGCCCAAATTCGTGACCTAATCGGAAAACCCTACTCCTTTTCCAAGCAAAAGATCGATTCTTTCTATTTGCCCTACCAAATTGTCGAAGATTCTAGAGGTGTTGCGGCGATTAAGGTTGATGATGGTGAAATTTATTCATTGGAAGAAATGTTGGCGATGATTTTGAGTTATTCGTTGGATTTAGCTGAGTTTCATTCCAAGGTTGCTGTAAAAGATGCGGTGATTAGTGTGCCGCCGTATTTCGGGCAATCGGAAAGAAAGGCGGTGATTCAAGCTGCTCAATTGGCTGGTGTTAATGTGTTGTCTTTGATTAATGAACATTCTGGAGCTGCATTGCAGTATGGAATTGATAAGAAGTTTGCGAATGATTCCAAATATGTTGTGTTTTATGATATGGGTGCCACTTCTACTTATGCTACTCTTGTTTATTTCTCTGCTTATGATACTAAGGATTATGGCAAGACTCTTTCTGCCAACCAATTTCAGGTATTCTTTTGTCCTCGCCTTTTGTTAATTTGTACTCCCTCCGTCTCTAAATGTTCTTCTTCGTGTTTTGATCGTGATTGTCTCTCAAAAAAATAAGAACTTTGGAGACGGAGGGAGCAGCTTTTTGTATATTTGATAGAGAATTTATCTTATAAGAAAGTGAAGGGATGATGAATGTTGTAATTGGTGCTGCAAAATGTAGTAATTAGGAGATATATACTATAATGTATTAGTGTTCTTTATACAATTTATTATTATTGATGTAGGTTAAGGATGTAGTTTGGAATGCTGAACTTGGTGGTCAACATATGGAATTGAGATTGGTGGAGTATTTTGCTGATGAATTCAATAAGCAGCTTGGAAATGGGGTTGATGTAAGGAAGTTTCCTAAAGCAATGGCAAAATTGAAGAAGCAAGTCAAGCGTACTAAAGAAATTTTGAGCGCCAATACAGTGGCTCCAATATCGGTTGAGTCTATCCATGATGATAGTGACTTCAGGTTTGTGGACTGCTCAATCTGAGTTACTAACTTTGATTTATGCAAGCTTTGTAACCTGTTCTAAAACTTGCATTTTTATGGACTTAATGCATTTACTACACTGCAATTGACTGGAACATTCTTACTTTGTTTTTGTGTCTGATGGTTCAAACTGTGTAAAATTGTATAAAGGGGCTAGTTCAAAAGTAGGATATAGGATAGTTAATCTTGTACCTTTTCCCATGAGGTGAGTTAGTATAGGTGTTTGCAAAAATTATGAGATGCATTCAATTTTTTGAAGGATAACTACTGCAATGTGCATACAGAGTTGATATTAATATGTAGTTTAGTACATATACTCTCTCCGTTTTAAAAACTTGCTCCACTTTCCAGTTTCGACTGTTTTTAAACACTCGCCCAATTTCCTTATATGGAAAGATTTTACAATATTTAAATCATTTCTCTCAACTAGTGGACCCAATATAAATCATAAGGAGTATTTTATTAATTTCATATTCTCTCTCTTCCAATTCTCTCAAATACTTTTGCTTTTTACAATTTTTTTATTCTTCTATTAACCCCACTACCTCCATATTTTATTACTTTCTCCAATTTCTTCTAAAACTTCGAGGAGGGAGTATATAATAATTTCAGTATGGTGTGTAGTTTTACTAGAATTATATAAAACGCCGTAAGTATGTACAGATGCAAGAAGCTGAAGAGTTGCTAAAGATTTACTCCTTTTTACTTCAAATTATTATAGGAGTTCTATAACCCGTGAGAAGTTTGAAGAGCTTTGTGAAGATTTGTGGGCCAAAGCTCTCATCCCACTAAAGGAAGTTCTTCAGAATTCAGGTTTGCGAGCTGATGAGGTATCTGCAGTAGAATTAATTGGAGGTGCCACTCGAGTTCCAAAGTTGCAGGTAAATAATCTTTCTAGTTGCTCCCTTAATGGAAATGTATCTTTCCAACAGCTGATCTAAGGTTTATAATGTCACAGGCTAAGCTTCAAGAATTTCTTGGTAGGAAACAGTTAGACAAACATTTGGATGCTGATGAAGCTATAGTTCTTGGTGCTGCATTACATGCTGCAAATTTAAGTGATGGAATAAAATTGAATAGAAAATTGGGAATGATTGATGGTGCTACATATGGTTATGTGATGGAATTGGATGGTATTGATCTTGTGAAAGATGAAAGTACAAAGCAAGTCCTTGTGCCGCGCATGAAGAAGGTCCCTAGTAAGGTAATTCATTTTGTCTGATGAACTTATTGGGTTGTGTGCAGACAATATCCTCAATTATAGATTTATTGTGTTGTTTTTCATCCTTGGTTACTTTATTGCAGATGTTCCGATCAATAATTCACAAGAAAGACTTTGAGGTGGCTTTAACTTATGAGAGCAAAGACTTGATGCCACCCGGTGTTTCCTCTCCCATATTTGCTCAGTATACAGTCTCTGGATTGGCCAATGCCACTGAGAGGTATGCATTGTGGCTTATGTAGCATGTGTTAATTTGGGTATCTATCACTTTCCATTTACTGCAATATAACTTTTCTTAACTTTTATTCAAACTTTAGAAGTTTTGTGTTTAGACCTGAACTTTTCCTGCTGTTTTATTCTGTTTCAGATACGCATCTAGAAATCTCTCTGCTCCGATCAAGGCAAACCTACATTTCTCTTTAAGTAGAAGTGGGGTGTTAACCTTAGATCGCGCCGAGGCTGTTATTGAGATAACTGAGTGGGTAGAAGTCCCTAAAAAGAATCTGACTGTAGATAACTCCACTTCAGCAAACATAACTTTGAACTCATCAACTGAAACTGCAAGTGGGAATTCTGCAGAAGAAGGTAATGACAATTTGCAAAATGATGGCAACACAAATAATTCCTCTAATTCTGGTGCTACAGAAGATAATATCAAAGAGATTATTGAAAAGAAATTAAAGAAGCGAACTTTCAGGGTGACCTTGAAGGTAATGCTCATTTAAGTATCACTGTCGGAGTATAAATCCTTTTTGTATTGGCGAAATCAATTGATCTAAATGTCTTGCTTACACACAGGTAGCCGAGAAGACAATTGGGCCTGCAATGTCATTTTCTGAAAAATCCCTGGCTGACGCGAAGCAGAAGCTGGCAGCACTTAACCAGAAAGATGCAGAGCGAAGGAGGACAGCAGAGTTAAAAAATAATTTGGAAGGATACATTTATTCAACCAGAGAAAAGGTTTTTGCCTTTCTTTTTGGATTTGATCTCTTACATATTGCTGAAAAAACAAGGTTTAAGTCCGCAATTATTTACAGTGTTTGGAGTACTGGTTCTAATTAGATCATATAAGTAATTTAGCTAACATAATAGTGCTCTCATTTCCAATAGATGCATAAAACATAATAGCCATGTAGGTACGTTATGAACAATAAAAGCCTGGCACTATAATTGCCTAATTATATATCTCCTGTTGTTTTGTCTTTAATAGGTTGAAACATCTGGGGAAGTTGAAAAGGTTTCAACTAATGAAGAGAGACAATCATTTATTGCAAAGCTTGAGGAGGTAAGACTTTACCCAGCAAATTCTTCCACTTCGTGATTTTTATGATATTCAAGTACAAAATAAAATACAAACTTTTTGGTGGTTTCAGATCCAAGACTGGCTTTATATGGATGGAGAAGATGCTACTGCTGGAGAATTTGAAGAACGTCTGAAGATGTTAAAAGCTATTGGTGACCCCATATTTTTCAGGTTGGTTTTGCACCTTGATTTAAAAAAAAAAAAAAAAAAAAAAAAAAAAAAAGCAAAACAAAACTTCTACCTAAATAATGATATCTTACTGATGTCTGTTTCACTTTAGAATGGATGAATTGACTGCTCGTCCAAAAGCAATTGAGCAAGCTAAAAAGTATCTAACAGAGTTAGCAGAGGTATGTAATGTGGCTTACAGTTATCAATTATGATTGCATTATATTATGATTGCATTATTCTGTGTGGCAATAATTAAATGGAAATTTGCAATTAGCTTGAATGTGCCGTGCCTATAGCAGTATAGCAAGAATGTGTTATTTTTTTATTTTTATTTTTTGGCCTAAAAGATGGCATACTTAGTTTTTGCATAATTGCAGATTGTACGTGGCTGGGAGATCAGCAAATCCTGGATCCCAAAAGAAAAAATTGATGAGGTTAACATCTAAATATGGGTGCCTTTGGCATGTTCTAGTTGGATTGATTTGCGCTATTTTCTTTCTATTAACTTCTGTTGATCATCACTGGGTTTTCAGGTTTTGAATCAAGCTGATAAGTTCAGGAAGTGGTTAGATCAGAAGCAGGCTGAACAGGAGAAGTAAGTAGTATCTCTGCAAGTTGCTCAGCCTATTTGTTATATAAACTTGTAATTTTTTTTTTGTTTTTATTGATAGCCTTTTTCATGCAATCTTTTTTTGGCACAATGAGTAACCGTTATATTTATGGTTTAGAATAATTATCCAGTTATCCCCCTTCCTAATAGTGTATAAGAAGCAACATTTTACTCTGTTTTTCTCATTCTCCATTTCAAGGGTTAATTTGCAAAATGTGTACTAGTATGAAGGTTGACGGAATACTTGGAGAACTGTCGGAGTTTCTTATCTGATCATATTAAGATTTGTCAAACTAAATTTTGAGATTTGATCCAATCTATAGCGTCTTTGTAGCTTGTCTTCTTCAAACACTTTTATTTTGGAGAAAAAAAAGGAGATTTATATAGGTTATGTTATCTTACTACGCTACAAATATAAGTGAATTTGAAGATTCAGTCCAATGTGCAATGTCTTTGTTGCTTGTTCCCATGAAACTCTTGCTTTCTTCTTTGAAAAAAGGCAGGAATACCGTTTTGGATTGTCATATTTGGTCAATATTTTGTGAGTTTAAGCTGAATTTAGAGTTTTTTAAATTTAGTCATTAATGTCTTTGGTGTTTGTCCCGTCAACTATTATATTGCAGAAACTAATGTTTGATTAATCTCATTTATGTTTTTTTCTTGTTAATTGAAATCTAGATTGTACTTAACAAATTGAAAATGTCTTTTCTTACTTGTTGCCTCATCTAGTTTACCCTTGAAACCATGAATATATTGTTTTGATTAGTACAATGAATGGCTTTTTTTTGTTTGATCTGCAAATTCTAATGTTGTTTGTATTTTGACAGGGCTTCTGCTACAAGTGAGCCTGTGTTTACTTCCGAGGAAGTGTACAACAAGTTAGCTGATCTTCAGGCTGAGGTATGTCTGATCTTTCATAAATGCCTAAATGGTGACATTATGTGTATCATAACCTGATTTATGGTTCAAGAGTTTTATCAATGACGGCAAATTTTGATTCTAGGTAACTAGGGTGAATAGAATCCCAAAACCAAGGCCAAAAGTAGAGAAGCCTGTTAAGAATGACACTAACACTGAGAAAGCAGAGAAAGATTCGAACTCTACTTCTGGCACCAGTGAGGAGAGCTCTACCAAGGAAGATCCAGAAACTTCTGATGGCTCAGCGACTGATAATGCTGACCCAGAGTCTGGATCTCATGATGAACTGTGATGTGGTGTGCTACCCCAATGATAAAACCATACAATTCATGGTCACAAATTACTTCTGCCGAGGGCTTTTCTTGTTGGAACAAAGTTCTTGCTCAAGGACACATTCCTTATCAACGTATTTATCTGCTCAGAGACTAGTTGGCACAGAGATTTCCCTCGAGTAAAGTATATGTTGGCTTGAGCCATAGGTTCCTGAGCCAGTTCGACCCCTTTTTAATTGGTCTGAGATACGAAATTTTGTTAGAAAATAGCAGTTACGGATTACTTGTACTAACACCTTATGTTGTGCTGTCTTGTTGGAACAAGTAGTTACATTTTTACCATAATTATAGCAATCCTCTTCTTACAAAATCTATTACATGTACTGAAAAAAATAATGCTGTCTTGCTTGTGTTTTCTTTTTCTTGGACATTTATCTGTATACAGCTCACTGGACAAGCCGCTCCATTGTTTTCTCAAAGTATTATTTACAATCATTGATCTTCGCTTGGTTCAATTGGACCAGACGTGTAGCTTGATTATGTGTTGGCAATTCACTACACGACATTAATGTGCAGCTCTGTTCTTATAACCTTCCCAAGATCCCAACATAGTATATAATGCCGTTTGTCAAGAACAACAATTTGTTTCAATTTTGTGTACCCCAAATGAGCGTGTATTTAATGAAGCTTCCTTATGTACAACCCCATATAGGGTAATAATCTAAGAATTAAGCTAATCCTCCGTATAGTGTGATAAGAACATACCGTGAAGGGTAGTTCATTGCTGCTGTGTTGAACGAAAAATGATTCCCTGAAGCTCTCAAAGAGTCTATCCATTGCTTGCGTATTGCATTCTTGCAAAGACATCTCCTCTGCACACGGCGCCCTGTATTGCTTGGTCCTTGGTACATATTTTTGTTAGAAAATGGCATTAAAGTTCTACATATGGTAGTACACGTGTACTAACACCTTATGTTTTGCTTTTGCCTGTATCATACGTTGATACTGAAAAAGGTAATTATCATAATTGCAGCAATCTTCCATAATCAGTTAAATTTGACACAGTAAAAGTATTAAGAGGCCTTAGATAATGAAGCTGATGTTTGTAATTGTCCTGTAAAGCATATATATAATAGATAATGTACAATAGTCCTTTGATGAAAAGTAGTGACGGACTAACTAGGTTAACTCAGCTCTTTTAATTGAGCAGTAGAGTACAGTACTCGCATCATATCAAATCATATTATTATTATTGTCGATTCAAACAGTTACTCGATCGTACCACTTACTCTGTATGCGTGTTTTTCATGGCTTCGCTTCGCTAGCTAGTTTGGTCCACCTTAATATTATCTCTTAATCGACTGTACAATACTCATACTCAGGCTCACGATTATCCATAAAATGCCTTTAGCTCTTTTCTACTTTCTATTTTCTCCTGTTCTTACTGCTTTTACACGGTTCAACTACATACTTTACCTTGATCATATCATTTTTTGTAACAAATTACGTCGTTCAAGAAACAAGGTAAATCGCATAGAGGAAGAGGTAGTCATTTTTTTAAATTAAAAGTATCTTTACCCTGCTAACATGTAACATCATTGATCATACATACGTGATAATTGCTTAATCGACCTATTTTAGCTTCTTGACAGTTGACATACGTATATTTAAATTGACATTATAAGTGTAGTCTGTTACAAATTTCATGGTTACAACACCAATAAGCTAATTAAATAACAAGACATACAGACGACTTATACTTGTATATGGTTGTGTTTTCAGGCCAAGCAAACACGTGAGCTAGGCATGAATAGTTGTAAGCTCTTGGGCTTGGAAAGTTGAAGTATACCTATTTCCCTTCATTTTCATATAGAATGGAATGTGATCATCACTATCCTTTGTATCAAGGCGGCTGCTGCTATAAATTGCTTTCTCCTCAGCATCCTCCATTATCGCGGTCATCAAGTTGTTCTTCTTGTCCTGGCGATATGCCATTAGAGCTTTTGCTAACAACACTAACGAAGCCATTGAATTGATTGATTGATATATCAGGCTGGGAGTACAAAAATTATGTAAGTTAATTAAGGAAAAATGTGTGCGTTATTATATATGTCACAGTAAGACCCTTAGCCTCTTATATAGATACTTGTATTTCTAACCAAATTTTGAATTAATCCAGCACACTTAGTTGATGAGCATCTTTTGTTCTTGTCTAAATATTTGAGGAAATTTAAAGAAAATCTATTTTTTGGTTAGAAACATGGCATTAGCAATTCATTCGGACACTACAATAAGTTATTGATTTATTTTTTTATTTTTTTTTAAAAAAGTTGGTTAGGAAGTAGGCAACAATCTAAGGCAGAATTTATTAAATAAGCAGACTTTTCATGCAATCCTTGTTCTTAGAGGATGTTTTGATCTAAATTGCATGATAGTCAATTGAGGCGTTGGACAACCACAGATTTAAGAGGCCAAGAGAATGAAAGCATAAGCATGTTTAATACCTTGGTATATTAATTAAGCAATGACTTAAATGTGATGTTTTCCTCGGATAGATGACTCACACATGTACGCGTAGTGATAATTAATTGATAAGTTGTAGGTCCATTCGAGTTGATGAGTCTTTATCTCATAATAAAACCATTCTCATGATGCAAATCTCCTAACGCGATGTTATATTATTATTTTGTGCAACAATCGCTTGTAATAGTTGATGAAACTATTAAAAATGTTACCTTTTGAACAATTTGATATCAACCATAAAAGATAATAATCTGAATTTAATTTGGTATATTTTGGAGGTAATGGTAATGGCTAATGGGTGTGAGAGAAAGAAGGGAGGTGGGAGGGGCTGAAAAAGAGGGGTTGTACCAAGTAATTAATAACAGCGCTTAGTAAGTTAGTAAAATAGACAAATGACTTTGTCAAAAAAAAAAAAAAAAAATAGACAAATGAAAAGGTTAGTTGGAGCAAATTTTTTCACTTATTTTCATCATTTAGCCTTTTAAATATGCGAGTATATATGTACATTTTTAGTGCTCCAAACAGCTAATAACCAAGGCGATGACCAACTAAATTTAAAAATCATCCATAGTCTTTGTAAATCGACATCATAAAAATCTAACTCAAATTGCTAATTTAATAACTAACAATAACAATTAGTCAAACATATGGTGTCAAGTGATTAAAGATACCCGTGATAAAAAACTGTACATTAACAAGCACGAAAATAAATGTGGTGCAATTTTTTATAAACGGGGAAAATGTGTATTATTGGTGGCATTTAAATTTCTCATACCTGCCTGATTAATTATATTATGAGGTTGTCTCTTGATTGCGACATTGAAGGAATTTAAGCTGGAATCACATCGTTCATACAGTATGATAATTACCTAAAACTCAGCATTTCATTTAGGATGGTATTCACCAAATTAAATAAAGACTTTAAATTAGGAAAGTTATTGCAATATACTCCACTCCCTAGTCCCTAGTACTTAATTCACCTAACATTATTATTTTTGTGACAAAGATCTCTTAAAGATGACAGTAAAGTAATCATGTCATTATTGGAAACAACTCAAATAAGCATGATTATATAATTAGATTGATGAGGTTAATTAAAGTGCATGCCATCATTATCTCAATCATCTGGCACATTAGCTAGCCCTTTTTTTTTTTTTTTTTTTTTTTGGAGAAAATTGGCTAGCTATTCATAGAAAGCTACTAATAATCCTCCTTTATTTTAATTAAAATGTTGATTTAAGGTTTAATTGATTTGTTTATCTTCTATAATTAATAATTATTCAAGAATATGTGGTCATTTGTTGAAATAATGAATACAGCTCGACAACAGCCAACAATAACTTAAATTCATAAATTCAATCAAAAGTATGAGTGCTTCTCTTCTCTTATTGAATATTCACTCAAACTGACGAGTAGGAAGCTTTCGTGATAGAATATACTTATATACTTAGTATAATTAATATTTTATAATTAGGAAACCAACCTACACAATTTTATATGCTTCCTTTGTTTTTTTAATTATTGTACTATGAGTGATTTCATGCTTACCAATGCATACTTTATCTATTAATATATTTAATAATAGTTTTGTAAAAATTTATAATAAATTGATATTTGAATAATAAATTTCAAAATATTTGAATAATAGATTTCGAGACGAATCTAACTAAATTCTCACGATTATGCAAGTTTTCGTTACAGAATAATCACAAAACATGGTCAATGAAGGTTATGTGAATAGTGTAAAAGTCATTGTGATACAATAAAAGAAAATCTTTATGTGTTTATGAATTCGGAGTAACTCATAGTCTTGCCTTAAAATGGGGAATAACTAAGCCACTAAGGTACTACTGTTTTAAATTAAAATTGTAACTAATTCATTCTTTAGGGATAGTGTTGTACATTTGGGCGAATAATTGTGTTTTTGAACGCTCTTTTTCGTGCATGAGATTGAACCTATATAGATTTCATGAAGACTTGTTGAATGTTTGACATGACATATGTACTTAACAACGTAACCCTCGGTGGATTGAAAATTTAAAAGCTTTGACATAGTATTATACGCGTATATGGTCAAATAAACTAATTAAATGTGTTCATGATCACTCTTTTCATGAGATCGTGGCTAGATAGGTTGTACATATTCATATAAAATTATTAAATGTTTGACATGACATATGTACTAAAAAAAATCCGAATGGATTGCAAGTCTAAAAACATACACATAGCATAGTAGGCATCTAAAATCCAAATGAGTAAATGTTCATTGTGGGTATAATTAATCATTACTCGTATTATTTTTAGATATCGTTAGTGCTATAATTGTCTTTGAGTTATGGCATATTTTTATAACAATTAGATCAATTGAACCATGCCAATCTTTTCAATTTGTCAATGTCAAATAGTCTATAAGTAGTATTTATTTTCTTATACATGAATGATTATGTCTACAATTAATTCAAGTAGATTGATTAATATCAAATATTTTTATGATAAACTTGAATTAGTTTAGTGATAGATTGAATGATTAATTGCAATTATCAACTATGGGGATTGTACCAATAATTGTATGCATACAATATAAAAATACTCCCACAAGCAAAGCAAATCAAACCATGAAAAAGTAAACTTTGTTCAAATGAAAAACTTTCTACTAGTAAGTAGTACTAATAGATATACTTAGCTTAATTAAGACATTGGCCTACATTACAATAAATAAAATAAAATAATGGAAGGCGTCATCCACGCAAAATAATTAGCAATTCTTAACTAAAAAAAATGAGATCACCTTCCATTAATTTCAACTCCTAAAAAAAAAAAAAAAAAAGAAAAAACCATGATTATATACATCATTTTCTGCTTTTCCAATTCCAAGTGTCTCTATCCAACTAGCTAGCTACTAGGCCACCACAAGCTAAGGTCATAATAATTATAATTATAATAATAATTATGATGA